ATAGTGTTAGCCCACTGAGATACCATGCCGCAGTTTAAATACCCCACTCAGACACAGTATACTGACTCCGAGCAGACCAGTCCTTGTTTAAGCCCCTTAATACCGAGCGCCAGGCCAGGTAACAACAAGTACCATCTTTTAATGGTTTTGGGTAACTGCTGGCCTTCCGCTCTCAGGACAGACGCTCTATCCGCTCAGCGGAGGCAGTCTCGAGCAATGGGCAGCTTTATGTTGACGGATGGTCGAATTTATCTACCACCGGAACACGTAGCTGACAGATTCACATGGCTGCTGTGTGTAGATTGAATTTCCATGACCTTAAGAACAACTGCTGTTATAAACAGAAAGTTGGCCATGGTACCTTGACGCGGTGAACGTACACACGTGTGCTCACAATATCGACCACAGGTTCCCTTGGGTGATGTCCGGTCATGTTCCGGTCGAACCCTCTCTGGGTTAGGGTTAGGCGAACGCTCTCAGGGTTAGGGTTAGGTCGATCTACGCAATTGGGATACGATGACATGCATTAACCAAGTCACTACGCCTGACCACTCGATCTCGTTAGTCGCCCCTTACGACAGGCATAGGTTCATGGGGACCAATATTTTACCCAGAATAACCCCCCCCCCCCCCCCCCCCCCCCACCGGCTGATGTAAATGTAATATCCGTAGTAATACGAATAGTATATAGTTGTAAATAAATAATATCCATGTATTCATTGTTTCACATGTACATAATTCACAGTATTTAGGCAAGAAGGGACGTATAGCAAAAATCGACTCTGATGGCGACGTGGCCGTGTCTTTTGGTCTGAGGACGTGGTTGTTCAACCCTGCGTGTTGCGTACCGGCCCCCGGGGGAGGAGTGGATGACGTCACAGACACTGCTGGTCAAGATGAGACGTCAGCCGAGGAGCTTCTCAGTACGTACATTAGATTCAACTCACATCGTGGTGTCAGGGTATGAGATTTAACTTACATTGTGGTGTCATGGCATTAGATTCAACTTACAGTGTGGTATCAGGGCATTAGATTCAACTTACAGTGTGGTGTCTGGGCATTAGAATCAACTTACTGTGTAGTGTCAGGGCATTAGAATCAACTCACAAAGTGGTGTCAGGGCATTAGATTCTACTCACATCGTGGTGACAGAGCATTAGATTCAACTTACAGTGTAGTGTCAGGGCATTAGATTCAACTTACAGTGTAGTGTCATGGCATAAGATTTAACTTACTGTGTGGTGTCAGGGCATTAGATTCAACTTACTGTGTGGTGTCAGGGCATGAGATTCAACTTACAGTGTGATGTAAGGGCATTAGATTTAACTTACTGTGTGGTGTCAGGGCATTAAAATCAACTTACTGTGTGGTGTCAGGGCATTAGATTCAACTTACAGTGTTGTGTCAGGGCATTAGATTCAACTCACAAAGTGGTGTCAGGGCATAAGATTCAACTCACATCGTGGTGTCAGGGCATTAGATTCAACTTACAGTGTTGTGTCAGGGCATTAGATTCAACTCACAAAGTGGTGTCAGGGCATAAGATTCAACTCACATCGTGGTGTCAGGGCATTAGATTCAACTTACAGTGTGGTGTCAGGGCATTAGATTCAACTCACAAAGTGGTGTCAGGGCTTTAGATTCAACTTACAGTGTGGTGTCAGGGCATTAGATTCAACTCAAATCGTGGTGACAGAGCATAAGATTCAACTTACAGTGTGGTGTCAGGGCATTAGATTCAACTTACAGTGTGGTGTCAGGGCATTATATTCAACTTACAGTGTTGTGTCAGGGCATTAGATTCAACTTACTCTGTGGAGTCAGGGCATTAGATTCAACTTACAGTGTGGAGTCAGGGCATAAGATTCAACTTACAGTGTGGAGTCAGGGCATTAGATTCAACTTACAGTGTGGAGTCAGGGCATTAGATTCAACTTACTCTGTGGAGTCAGGGCATTAGATTCAACTTACAGTGTGGAGTCAGGGCATAAGATTCAACTTACAGTGTGGTGTCAGGGCATTCGATTCAACCTACTGTGTGGTTTCAGGGCATTAGATTCAACTTACTGTGTGGTGTCAGGGCATTAGATTCAACTTACAGTGTTGTGTCAGGGCATTAGAATCAAAATACAGTGTTGTGTCAGGGTATTAGATGCAACTTACAGTGTTGTGTCAGGGCATTAGAATCAACTTACAGTGTTGTGTCAGGGCATTAGATTCAACTTACAGTGTTGTGTCAGGGCATTAGAATCAACTTACAGTGTGGTGTCAGGGCATTAGATTCAACTTACAGTGTAGTGTCAGGGCATAAGATTCAACTCACAAAGTGCTGTCAGGGCATTAGATTCAACTTACACTGTGGTGTCAGTGCATTAGATTCAACTTACAGTGTGGTGTCAGGGCATAAGATTCAACTTACAGTGTGGTGTCAGGGCATTAGATTCAACTTACTCTGTGGTGTCAGGGCATTAGATTCAACTTACAGTGTTGTGTCAGGGCATTAGATTCAACTTACAGTGTGGTGTCAGGGCATTAGATTCAACTTACAGTGTTGTGTCAGGGCATTAGATTCATCTTACAGTGTGGTGTCAGTGCATTAGATTCAACTTACTGTGTGGTGTCAGGGCATTAGATTCAACTTACTGTGTGGTGTCAGGGCATTAGATTCAACTTACTCTGTGGTGTCAGGGCAAAAGATTCAACTTACTCAGTGGTGTCAGGGCATAAGATTCAATTTACAGTGAGGTGTTAGGGCATTAGATTCAACTTACACTGTGGTGTCAGGGCATAAGATTCAACTTACTCTGTGGTGTCAGGGCATAAGATTCAACTTACTGTGTGGTTTCGGGGCATTAGATTCAACTTACAAAGTGGTGTCAGGGCATAAGATTCAACTCACATCGTGGTGTCAGGGCATTAGATTCAACTTACAGTGTTGTGTCAGGGCATTAGATTCAACTCACAAAGTGGTGTCAGGGCATAAGATTCAACTCACATCGTGGTGTCAGGGCATTAGATTCAACTTACAGTGTGGTGTCAGGGCATTAGATTCAACTCACAAAGTGGTGTCAGGGCTTTAGATTCAACTTACAGTGTTGTGTCAGGGCATTAGATTCAACTTACAGTGTGGTGTCAGGGCATTAGATTCAACTTACTGTGAGGTGTCAGGGCATTAGATTCAACTTACTGTGTGGTTTCGGGGCATTAGATTCAACTTACAGTGTGGAGTCAGGGCATCAGATTGAACTTACAGTGTGGTGTCAGGGTATAAGATTCAACTTACAGTGTTGTGTCAGGGCATTAGATTCAACTTACACTGTGGCTTCAGGGCATTAGATTCAACTCACAGTGTGTTGTCAGGGCATTAGATTCAACTTACAGTGTGGTGTCAGGGCATCAGATTCAACTTACTGTGTGGTGTCAGGGCATTAGATTCAACTGACAGTGTAGTGTCAGGGTATAAGATTCAACTTACAGTGTGGCGTCAGGGCATTAGATTTAACTTACACTGTGGCTTCAGGGCATTAGATTCAACTCACAGTGTGTTGTCAGGGCATAAGATTCAACTTACAGTGTTGTGTCAGGGCATTAGAATCAACTTACAGTGTTGTGTCAGGGCATTAGATTCAACTTACTATGTGGTGTCAGGGCATTAGATTCAACTTACACTGTGGTGTCAGGGCATTAGATTCAACTTACAGTGTGGTGTCAGGGCATTAGATTCAACTTACAGTGTGGTGTCAGGGCATTAGATTCAACTTACAGTGTGGTGTCAGGGCATTCGATTCAACTTACTGTGTGGTGTCAGGGCATTAGATTCAACTTACTGTGTGGTGTCAGGGCATTAGATTCAACTTACAGTGTGGTGTCAGGGCATTAGATTCAACTTACAGTGTGGTGTCAGGGCATAAGATTCAACTTACAGTGTGGTGTCAGGGCATTAGATTCAACTTACTCTGTGGTGTCAGGGCATAAGATTCAACTTACAGTGAGGTGTCAGGGCATTAGATTCAACTTACAGTGTGGTGTCAGGGCATTAGATTCAACTTACACTGTGGCTTCAGGGTATTAGATTCAACTCACAGTGTGTTGTCAGGGCATTAGATTCAACTTACAGTGTGGTATCAGGGCATAAGATTCAACTTACTTCGTGGTGTCAGGGCATTAGATTCAATTTACAGTGTAGTGTCAGGGTATAAGATTCAACTTACAGTGTGGCGTCAGGGCATTAGATTCAACTTACACTGTGGCTTCAGGGCATTAGATTCAACTCACAGTGTGTTGTCAGGGCATAAGATTCAACTTACAGTGAAGTGTCAGGGCATTAGATTCAACTTACTGTGTGGTGTCAGGGCATTAGATTCAACTTACAGTGTGGTGTCAGGGCATTAGATTCAACTTACAGTGTTGTGTCAGGGCATTAGATTCAACTTACAGTGTGGTGTCAGGGCATTAGATTCAACTTACTGTGTGGTCGTGTGTTTGTTTTATCCTACATGTTTATATTAAGAGCCGACTAGAATGAGAATCGGATTACAATATGTGTCCTGGAAATGATTGTGATGATTATAATATTCTGATGATGTTGCTCATACTATCAACCACAGTTATGATTAACCGACATGATAATTAATTAATTGTCGATAATTCTATAATAATGTATGTGGTCAAAACATTAACAAATTCATACATATACAATTAACCGACCTAGTGCAAGGACGTGAGCATACAGTTCAGTAGGTAGTGCGATTGCTCCCAGTGCCCTGGTTCGAATCTCTAACATTCTCTCCCCCTCAGATCTGCCTGGTGCGCTGGCAAACCTCCTAGCAGGGTTAGTGATCATGAGACAGGCACAACAACACTCACGGAGGGAGGGGGTCGGGCTTCTGTTCAGAGCCATCTTGGAGGGCGACGTCAGTGACGTCAGAAAACTTTGCGAACACGACTCCAGTTTGGTGAGTAAAGAGTTACCGCATTTCAATAGCGTGTGTATGCTGATGGAAATACAGCTTTATAGATTTAGGTGTGTTTAGGTCCATGAGAACATATATATATTTTTAGAGACGGAATGTTGGTTAATTAGAACATATTTATTGCTAACTATAGGATGTATCTGAACAGTTCTGGTCCTGACTACGAAGGATGTATTGACCTTTATCACACTTTCGCCATCTTGGATCGAAAACGAGGCTTGGAGAGCATAGATCCATCAAGTGTGAGTCGCATCAGCTGATAGAGAACAGATAGCATGTTGTTGTAGCATGCACGACATTTCAAACAAACAAAAAATGGTATCCTCTGTATTTAATACAGAAGATATTTCACATTAAATCCTGAGGTCCAAATAAAATATGCCTGTAATACACTGGAATTAGCATTTTGCTGTCAGGATCTCGGAAGTGAATCGAAAGGTGCATTTTGAGATACGTATTTCACAGATATTATATTTATCATAACCTCGTCGGCATATAGGTACAATGTGACAGTACATTCAATGACAGAAGTTTTGTATCGTAAATGAACCGCATAACATGAAACAGGTCAGTGTACTTTTGCAAATTTGCTCAGTCAATGCGTGGCTTGGCGAACTCGAGATCGTCGATCATGTTTATTTCACCTTTCATAGTGGTGTTTGCTGCACAACGCACTGTCGTTTTGCCATGAGTCCAGTTGACAAAAAACACTTTTTCTGCTATGATTTCCATCTAAACATGTTACGATGTAAATGAAATTAGTTCACAAAATAACTCATGTGTCAAAATAAATATTCAGAAGGGGCGATAACTCTATTCAGTGTGTACAATGGCAGATGATACTTTACTTGTTCTTCAAACATCACTTATTTAACCGAGTATTAACGATTGAGATTGCACCGTGCACGACAAAAGCAATAATGTGTGAAATGTTTAAAATATGTTAAAACGAAATTTAAAATTGATAAATATAAATAATGCATGAAATTGAAGAAATATAAGATTTGATACAAATACCAACTTCTTGAACACCCTGACCTAATCCTATATGATGATAGGTAATTGTATATTAAAAGGAAGCTACTAATACATTTATCCTGAATAGTTTCATCAGATATGAGTACAGATAAAATAACAAAAGATGAAAAGGAATCAACTTCATTTGGTAATCAAGCCAAGATAAAATACATGTATCGGAACAAATTATGTTGGTGGAACAATCTGGATTTCTCATATTTAAATAAGAAAAACAAACCGAAATTTTCATGTCTTTATTTCTCACAATATAAGTTTTCAAAACTTAACATGGACCGGGTGTTTTTGTTAGTCAAAAGCACCTAATTAAATTCCAGGAGAAAATAATTTTCTTGCTTGTAAACGGATGGTACAATGTGTGAGTGAATAAGGCTTTTCACCTCCTCGTCCTATTTGAGTCAAATGTGACAGGAACACATGATTGAATAAATATGGCTTTTCACTTCCTCGTCCTTTGACAGGATGCACATTGTAACCAGTGTGTTACTGTCACCAGAAAGCTCCTGCAGACATCCGTCACCGGATATTAGTACTTCATTGTGTTGACTCGCTGGACTTAAAGCCTGAAATGAATAATTCAATAATATTGTAATAATATTTCTAGTTCCATAAATTTTTTTATAAACAATGCATATTCACCTTCTCTCAAAATATTGCTTATTTAGAAAATAACATTCTTGTATATTTTGTGTAAACAGTAAACACAACAGATGCATCAATTTAATGAGAGTGTACTACAGCTCTTTATATCAATGTCACACAGAAATTCACTCTTGTTTTAATGAAACACGTTTTGATATTTGTATTACCGGTATGTATTTAATCATGAAATACTTTGTTTAGTCTGACCATGCTGAAAACATACTTTCGCTTGAGTGAAATAAATAAGATTTTTATTAAAATCAGGTGAAATATCACGTTTTGTCACACCTACAGTCAGTCTGCCTCATTGACACTATGGTTTTCTGAGTAAGGTCATGAAGATCACAAAGAAATATAAGACTTGAATTTTTTTTTTCAAATGAAATGTTTATCTCTTCTTGTGGTTTACTAAAGTTGATATCTTGACTTGAAAATATTAACTTTGTCAGATCACAAGATGAGATAAATTCATGCTATCATCGTTATTTGACAAGGAAAACAAATTTCTTCTATGTATTTATATTTTTTTATATTTCTCGTTTTGATTGAATTATAAAAATTATCAAAATTATCACCCCACTTGACTTGACTGAAATAAACTAAAGTTCTAAAGATTGTTAACAATAGTAAACTATTACATCATAACAATATAATTATTGCAACTCGTACATATAAATTGATATGATTAATAATCAATAATACATGGCAATTGCTTGCACAAAAGAAATTATTTTGTTTTAAAAGTTTCAAAACATGTTTGTGGACATAAAACCAGATGGGTTTCACAATTAAACAAAGGGAATAAATAATTATGATTGCAATACGCATGGGAATTAAAAATAATTCTGTTTTTACTTTAAGTTTATAGTAATGTCAATATCAATTTATGCATTTGAAATATTTGAATACAGACTGTTAAAGAGTTAGCTGTTTCTGTAAATTATATAAAGATCACATGTAGATTGAACATTTACTGGCCATTAATTAGTTGGGTTATTGTTCATTTCGTGTCATGATTAATGTGGTACAGTAAAGTAAATATCATTTTGATAGAAATATTGTTTACAAAATTGCAGATCAAACTGTACTTTACTTCAAATATTTACACATCCTTTATGTAATAATTCAGTTGAAATATTACACCTCATGCTATCTAATCTGTCAACATTGAAAATCAAAATAACAACTGTTCACAATCACAACAGCACACGTAGATCTAGAGGTCTAATATTTTATTGGAATGCATTTGAGTCCATTACAATTTACGTCAATTACGCAAATGATGCAAAATTCTGATTTGTTACGGTTTTCAATTCTCAGTAGTTTACAGTTTGATACATTATATCAACATATCAATTTAGTTAGTTTCTGACATATATCTAGATATGGTCAAAATGTAAATATTTCGACTTCCAATACAACCCGCAAAGTTATTTAAACTAACAATAAATAGTTTGGCTTAATGGTGTGTAAACAATTAATTATTCTTTACAAGATCTCAGTGGCATTTGTATTAAGTCTGTTCAGCTACCATAAACTGCACTGGGAGTTACCAGGTGGTCATGAATATTTTAAATTGAAATCACAACAGAACGGCCAGACTCAAATTTATATCGGTAAGGCGACCAGATAACAGTAGAATAGTTTGTCAATGATAAGAATAAGAATAATGTTCAATACTTACGATAAATGTACCGGGATGGTTAAATTGTCACAGTTTGTCCCGATTGCATGCCTTGTTGACATCTCCATGTGTTTCATGTGCTATCCAGCCTTCACCTTCTGCTCTCCAAGCCTCGCTTTCAAACCGGAAGTAGCGAAGTGTGAAAAGGTCAATTAGTACACACTTAAAAGTATGTATGTATTAAGTATTCATTTCTTACAGGCTGCATTTGTACCCAATACACAACCAGCATAGTACTTCAGGCATCAAAGTGATTAGGTCTTCTTATGGGATTTAATCGGAAAAAAAAATTGTCTCTAAAAATGCTTGAAAAAAGTTATGCTTCAGACCATTGAAAAAAAAGAAATTATTATATAAATTGTCCCTGAAAATGCTTGAAAAAATGTTTTGCTTCAGACCATTTGCAAATAAAAGAAATTATTGAATAAATTTCCCCTGAAAATGCTTGAAAAAAAGGTTATGCTTAAGACCATTTGGAAAAAAGGAAATTATTATATAAATTGTCCCTGAAAATGCTTGAAAAAAGGTTATGCTTCAGACCATTTGCAAAAAAGGAAATTGCCTGCCACAAAAATTAAAGAGGAAATTATTTATCTGAATTCTCAATGACAAAGAAAACTGTGTTCCCAAAAATATGTCATGTGGTGACGTAAGGCTGGAAAGGTGCCATTGTGTGAATTAGGTCAGTCAAAATGGGTATCTGATTTATTCACTTGTTGTACTATACAAGTGGTGATTTCTTCACTTGTACTGGTCGAAATGGTGATTTCTTCAGTTATTTTGTTTGTTTGTTTGTTTGTTTGCTGTTTAACGCCGCACTCAGCAATATTCCAGCTACATGACGGCGGTTTGTAAATAATCGAGTCTGGACCAGACAATCCAGTGATTGACATCATGAGCATCGATCCACGCAATTGGGATATGATGATATGCATCAACCAAGTCAGCGAGCCTGACCATCCGATCCCGTTAGTCGCCTCTTACGACAAGCATAGTCGCTTTTTAAGGCAAGCATGGGTTGCTGAAGACCTATTCTACCCCGGATCTTCATGGGGAGACAAGCATGGGTTGCTGAAGACCTATTCTACCCCGGATCTTCACGGGTTTCTTCACATGTTCTGATCCAGGTGAATGCGGGCCACAAGGGTATCCACCCTGTCCACCTGGCCGCCCACGAGGGTAAACTGGACATGTTGAAGGTGCTGATTGACAAGGGCGCGGACATCAACTCCCCCGACAACGACGAGGACACCCCCCTCCACATAGCCACTGTGAAGTAGGTGGTCGTTTTCTCGATTGATACATTTAGGCAGCCCGATGATTTACACGCTGACGACCCTAAGTCCACAAAGCTAAAACTACGAACGCCGTGTGATAAAGCAGGTGTGTTGACACATTCGTAACGCAAAGATAGTTTTGTGGAACAGGACCTACATGACTTTCCGCCGGGAGAGCGGAAGGTCGGGGGTTCGATCCCCGGCCGCGTCATACCAAAAGACGTTAAAAGATGGTACTTGTTGGTACCCTGCCTGGCGCTGGGCCTTAAGGGGCTCGGAGTCTGTATACTGTGTCTGAGTTGGGTATTCGTGTTAAACTGCGACATGCTATCTCAGTGGGCTAAAACAAGGACTGGTCGGCTCGGAGTCTGTACACTGTGTCTGAGTGGGGTACTCGTGTTAAACTGCGACATGGTATCTCAGTGGGCTAAAACAAGGACTGGTCGGCTCGGAGTCAGTATACTGTGTCTGAGTGGGGTATTCATGTTAAACTGCGGCGTGGTATCTCAGTGGGCTAAAACAAGGACTGGTCGGCTCGGAGTCAGTATACTGTGTCTGAGTTGGGTATTCATGTTAAATTGCTGCATGGTATCTCAGTGGGCTAAAACAAGGACTGGTCGGCTCAGAGTCAGTATACTGTGTCTGAGTGGGGTATTCATGGCTGTTAAACTGCGGCATGGTATCTCAGTGGGCTAAAACAAGGACTGGTCGGCTCGGAGTCAGTATACTGTGTCTGAGTGGGGTATTCGTGTTAAACTGCGACGTGCTATCTCAGTGGGCTAAAACAAGGACTGGTCGGCTCGGAGTCAGTATACTGTGTCTGAGTGGGGTATTCGTGTTAAACTGCGACGTGCTATCTCAGTGGGCTAAAACAAGGACTGGTCGGCTCGGAGTCAGTATACTGTGTCTGAGTGGGGTATTCATGGCTGTTAAACTGCGGCATGGTATCTCAGTGGGCTAGCACTATAAAATCGGTATTACTCCGGACCAGTACAAGCAGCCACACACACACAGACACACACACACACACACGTGCATGCACGTCGCTATGTAAGTGCAATAATCTTGGACGCGACGTTAAACCCCGTTTCACCTCACCTAAATTATTTCCTACGTGTGCACACAATATTTGCTGTCCCAAGTTTGCTACCCCATTACACTGCACCAATGTAAGATCGGCGAGAGCGATTCAATTGGTGTTATCGACAGGTGCCTTCTCGTGGGGCACCACGTCTTGACCAGCATCCGGTCTCTTCAATACAGTCACGGCGTGTTCATACCGTTAATGTGGGTACATACAAGACTACATAAAGACGGGCTAGATTCGGGCTAGTTGGCAGCCATAGCAATTTTGATTCAGGTCATTTCTTGTCTAAAATTTATAACATATCATTGTAGTAGTTTATCCTATTACACAAAGAATAAGAGCCATTATCGAAAAACATAAATTGTCCCCAAAAGTCTTCAGACTGTTGGAAAAAAAGAATCGCCTGCCACAGAAATTACATTGTTGCAAGGCGTTTTTCTTTAAATATTTTAAGCTCGTAGTTTTAAATATAGAAAATAACTGTTTTTTCAGTGAAAAATCTAATATATCGATACAGTCCCCACCCAAAATATCAAATAGTCGGTCCCTTATGTTACCTAGAACTCATCTCCCATGAGTTATGCACAGCATCTGAATGCAATGGGACATTTTTAGAAGACATTTGTGACTTTTTATGCCCCGGCATATAATGAGGGGGTTATCTCGCAAAACGCCTACATGCCAAAACACCTACAGCCAAGTACCCCTACACAGAGTTAAAACAACAACGGGGTTTCACCTACTTATAATGGAACAGTCCCAAAGACTAATTAATCTATAAGAGTCCCTTCCTCCTATTCGCTGATGGTGATGATGATAAGATACTAGCTTTTGCTACAGACGAAAACCTCCAAGCACTTCAGTCAGCAGAGTACATCTACATGGATGGAACTTTCCGGCCTGTGGAACCATGTATACATTATCCATACAAGACACGACTCTACAACATACCCTCTATGCCTTACTGCCGGATCGTCAGATAGGTACATGTACCTACTCCAGACTTTTCCGATTGCTAAAGAATAAAGTTCAACAGACTCAACCGTCCTCTTGTCCCAGTGTGCGTACAAACTGACATTGAGCTGGCTGCTATTCGGGGTGTGGAGGCAGAATTCCCCGTTGCTGATGTCAAAGGATGCCTAAATTACAACCAAGCCATTTGGAGGAAGACACAGGACTTAGGACTTGCTGTTCCGTACAAAGAAGACCTTGAAGTGTGCAAGTGTAGAAGAAGAGATGCTGGACTGCCTCTGCTTCCACTAGCAGTTACTCAAGACACCTGGATCGAAGACATGGATGACACTCCCAGCGTTGAATTCCAAGAGCTGTTGAATTCAATGACTATGTGGTTGTCAACTGGAGCACGATTCCCGCTGCCATTGTGGAACCATCACTCAACGATAGGTCCGAGAACAAACAACAATCTGGAAGGATTCCACAGCACCGTGGACTACCTCATCGACATCCCAACATCTGCCGCTTCATTGACGTCATCAAGAAGGGAGAACATGCAGATCGGGCCAAGATTTCGCAGATCGACTTTGGTGCGGCCCCCAGGAGTAGAAAGCGAGTCTAACGAGAGGTAGAGAATCTTGTGCCGATTAAAAGAACATTTGGCCCAGGGATTAAAAACACCCATCCAATACTTGGATGTTGTTTGAAACTTGGCTAGTGTCTTATTGGGATTATCATCTGACTGATTAGTTCTAAACTAATTTGATTATTGGGATTATCATCTGACTGAATAGTAAAATAAAATGTATATAAATATTCTTGGGGTTATTCCATTAAAACGACAAAGGTAACAGGCAGGGGATAAGGTGTGCATTCAACTGTGAACTTTGTTGTAGGTGTTTTGGCATGTAGGCGTTTTGGGAGGACACCTATGAGGGGGGATATAATCTACCGGATTTCCGTTCAAAATCTCTTAACAAAACTTGACAGATATATCAAACAGATCTTGAAATGGTCCCTTTTGCCATTTAAATATTTGGGGCATTTTCATTTTTCTCCGTTTCCATGAAACAATTAGATTTGGTCTTGAGATGGGGTTGATGTCGTTTTCAGATCCGAGCTCGAAAATCATGAAATATTTTTTAACAAAACATGCGAGGCTTTATCAATCATGGTGCCTTTCTTTTGAAATGATTGGGAATATTTTTCCCCTGTTTCCATGGAGACAGATTGGACCTTGTCTGAAATGGTATTGGTGGTTTTGTGAGAGCAGAACTTAAAAGCCTTTAAATATCTTTATCAAGATTTGAAAATGTAAATAAATAAAAAAAAGACTCTTTGATCGGGTTGTGTGATTTATCTTTTCCTTTTGACAGTTGTCAGGAAGTAGTATCATAGAATAAACATCTGAAATGCAACATACCATTATATATATATGACTTGTGTATAAGCACATCTCTCAACATGTGCTCACTCCAATATTTAAAGAAACCTAAAATTTGAATTCCTGCCATTTGTAAATTAGCCCATCCCTTAAGTTCTGTGATCGCTGCTCGGTTGGCGCAATGGGCTTATATTACAAAAATGGGGGCTGGGGGATATCTTCATCTTCTGATGACTGTTGTTTTATGACAACAGAACGCCTCACAACAGCTTCAACCCTACTCCTGTCTGTAGAGACATTTTGTTTGTGACGTACACACATATTTGTCCACATATGACGTCATATACTAATTATCACAATTGTATATGATTACAGTAACTTTAGGTTTTGAGTATATATTCATTTTAATTTGCATCCTGTAGACAACACTCATGATACATATTTAATGTAGATTTTACTGTTTTGTCTAGTTACAGGCCATTTTGATAAATTTGCTTAAACCCTTTCTTCACCCATTGGCCAACATCTCCTTACATAGAGAGAGAGTTTATTGCAGTAAAGGGGCACAGGCCCATTATACAATACATATTTCATTGATTTTTTCAATTGAGCGATTGAGCCAAACTATATTATACATTGCACAATCTAAGTGACAATTAATTAATATTGAGTTGTTTACATCAGTTTTTCATTGACAGGAAAATATATTTCGCTAAGACATTTACAGTGTAAGCATTTTGTGATGACAGTAGTTGTTGGAATTTAAAAAGAGTTGGGTTTTGTATATCGTATTTCGGTAATAAACTTCTTATATCATTATAGAATGGACATATACAAAAATGCTATTTAGTTTCGACACAAGGTACGATACACAATGGACAGAATCTTTCACTCGCACTTGGGGGCACGGGTGGCCTAGTCGTCTAATACTCTGTTTATACGGCGAAAAATTGCACATATTCAAATTTGCACACATATGCAAATTTACACACGTGAGCAAAAGTATATTTGCTGTGCATTCATACGAAGTATAAGTCCCATAAGCAGATTTGGAGTAAATTGTCAAAACCATCCATTTCTGTCATAGCTATGGAAAAGATCAGACTGGAATGTTTCCTGGAATGGTTGTTCTGCAGCACTTTGAAGAGACAGACTGGCTAGAAAACTTCAGAATGAGAAAGGAAACATTGGATTTCATTTGCAGAAGACTTGAAGGTGAACGCTCTCCTTCCCAAGACACTGTTGAAGAACCATTGGGTGTCATAAAGAAGGTAGCAATTGCCATTTACTTGCTTGCAGAATACAGAGTCGGTAATCTCTTTGGTGTTGACAGCAATTGACAGCATAGGTGTTGATGATGACCTTGTGCCCCATCTGAGCATTGTGTATCGCAATCATGTCCATGACGTCCCGGGCTTCAGTCAGCGAGGACCACGATGCCCGCGTGTTTGCAAATTCCGATATTTACATTCAAGGTGATAATGGCATTCTTTTCCCCACATGGAACAAGAAGGTTGGTGATTCCAATATGCCAGTGGTACTACTTGGTGATGCGGCCTACCCATTAAAGATTTGGCTTTTAAAGCCTTTCTCCAACAGAGCCAATCTAACTCCTGCTCAAGCCACATTCAACTATCGCCTCAGCAGGGCAAGGATGACGATAGAGAATGCCTTCAGTCGTTTGAAGGGACGGTGGAGATGCTTACAAAAGCGATTGGACATTGATGTGGAGTTTGCTTGCATAGTGATTGGCTGTTGCAATGTCTTGCATAACATGTGGGAGTGTCAATGAAACCTTCAGGGATGAGTGGAATTACGACACAAATGATGACGCAGATGATGAAGAAGTGGGCATACAGGATGGAGGTGATGAACCTGTCCGTTGTGCAAAGACCCTTAGGGATTAAGTTGTTCTTCAAAACAATTCTCTTCCCTTAATCCTAAAAGACATCTCGTTTCCTCGTCGCTCCATGCAGATCCACATTTTTGGCCCTCATTTGGTTTTTTTCTGCTAGCCATTTTTGACGGTCTGGTCTGTTTGAAGTCTGGACATCAACTGGTAGCATTCTGACCAATGAGGATTAAGCGTTGCTAATTTGTATATCTAAACTGCATATACTCACAGGTTGTAGCAAATTTGCACCTAGTCCCAACTAGGTGCAAATTTACTCATATGAGTAAAATCTGCACATGAGTAAATGCGTCCATACGGTCAAACTTGCTCACATAAGCAAATTTGCAAATATGCAAAAAAAACACACGTGTGCAAATGCCGCCGTATCAACAGGGCTTAAGGCGCCGCGATTCGCTGTGCAGAGTTGCGTCCCTTGGACACGCCAGAAACCTATGATTGTGGGTTCGAATCCCGATTCGCCCCGATTATGTTTCTAGGTTTGTCAGCACCATACCCGTGCTCGTGGGTTTCACCGAAGTGGTAAACGTCTAAAACCTGCATCACTTCGGGCTTTCCTCCCACATTAAGCTGACACGCCGCGATATGACTGGAATACTGTTAAAAGCGGCGTTAAACCCAACTCACTCACTCACTCATTCGCACTTATACCAAGTGTACGTCCGTATTCAATCATAAGTTTATGGTTTGAACATCTAAATTTAATCAAAGCATTTCTATAAGGATGTGCAATGACAAGTGATAGGTATTCTTTAAATTTGAACAGACTTAACAGACTGGTACATTTTCATTTTAGAATATTTTGACAAATCCTCAAACCACATTTGGTAGTCAATCTCTTTACAACGCTCTTTAAACTCTGACAAAAAGGAAGTGATACAATTAACATTTTGGTTACATACAGAGTATTTGCCGCGAAGCCGACTTTAGAGTCAATACAATGGTATGTACATATGTTTAAATTAAATGATATGTCTCATATATTTGTTTGTTTGTTTCCAATATTCAAGCTATACGACGACAGCCTATAAATAATCGAGTCTGGATCAGACAATCCAGTGATTGATATTGTGAGCAACGATCCACGCTCATACGTCCGTCACAGGTGGCAGTGGACCTTTTGTAACCCGGGATTCCCACGGGGGTGTCTCAAATAATCTTATACCCTGTTCACATGCGCCTCTATACATATGTGTGTATATGTGCATACGTGTGTAGAGATACATACGTGAGTATACTTGTCATGTGAACGCGTTTACTCATGTGTGTATATTTACACCAGGAGCAAATTTGCATCATGTCTGGAGCAGGTGCAAATGTACATGTAAATTTGCACTGTGTTTATATGTTGCAATGTGAACGTTTATGTTAACGTAAGATGATGATCTAATTAATATCTGTTCTTTTACCAACACCAAACAAATTGTCAACAGTGGCCAATGTTTATACGTATATACAGAGTTGAGCGGACGGTGGTTTTTTTGTTTCAAGGAGTCAAACCTTTTCGTACAAATTAAATCAAACACTTGTTGCTTCACGCGAAAGTTTTCGGTGAAGTAACTCTCTTCTCATTCAACTTTGATTGGAAAACAACCTGTTTTGTGGTGAAAGTCGTAAACAGACTGACGAATGTGTGTGCCTTACCCAATTTACATACTTTATTTACACACCTAAGTTGATTTTCATGTGAACGCATAGTAAATTTACTTATACGCACGTATGTATAGTTATACATGTGTAAAATTACTTACGTTAGTAAATGTTGTGCATGTGAACGGGGTATTAGAGAAGCAACATGCAAGAAGACAGTGAAACATTGTTAAAAATACAAAAAGTTCTCTTTGGTTTGTATGCATTCGGAACACACAAGGGTAGAGAAAAAACGTATCTCGGAATTGTTATATTCTTTATAAGACTGATATTTGAAAAAGAGACTGCGTCAAGACTACTTGATACTGACAGTGTGTATATGTGTAGGTCGAATCCACATCGTAAGTCTATTAGTATATGGGGCGGTCGGGTAGCCTTGTGGTTAAAGCGTTCGCTCGTCACGCCGAAGACCCGGGTTCGAATCCCAACATGGGTACCATGTGTGAAGCCCATTTCTGGTGTCCCCCGCCGTGATATTGCTGGAACACTGCTAAAAGCGGCGTAAAAACCAAACTCACTCACTCACTATTAGTATATAAGGTTTAAATGTTAATAATACCGAAAAAGTATGTATGCTCATTAATCATTCCGAATCCTCATATGTCCTCATTCATGCTTCTTGTCCGAGTCGGGCGGTCGGGTAGCCTAGTGGTTAAAGCGTTCGCTCGTCACGCCGAAGACCCGGGTTCGATTCCCGACATGGGTACAATGTGTGAAGCCCATTTCTGGTGTCCCCCGCCGTGATATTGCTGGAATATTGCTAAAAGCGGCGTAAAACCATACTCACTCACTCACTCACTCACTCACTCTTGTCCGAGTCGACTACGACTCCGATGCCACTGTGCTCAGGCGGCGACATGTGGTGTTCATGCTATCGACCACTGGTTCGTCTGGCCCGCACCTGATTAACTACATGATATAGCTGGAATATTTATGACAGTGGCATAAAACAACATTCGCTCATTCAAAAATCCCGCTTTAATACAGACAACACAGCAACATCGCCGAATACTTGATACGTGCCGGCGCTGACTTGAACAGATTCAACCAGCGACATCGTCAACCCGTTCACAACGCCGCCTACATGGGGATGACAGGGGTCCTCAGACTGCTGGTGGCGAAAGGATGTGACGTCAACTCCCCGGTAAGTTAGGTATAGTTTGTTGTCACACTGATAAATACTTTGGGTTACAATAAACATGATTATCTCGAATAATAGCTTAACACGATGTCACAAAGGGGGCACGGGCTTTCCTCCCACATTAAGCTGACAAGCCGTGATATAACTGGAATATTTTTAAAAGCGGCGTTAAACCCAACTCACTCACTCACTCTAAAAGGCGATGTTTTTTCATTTGTGGCACCATACCTCGTTTTGTAAAAACGTAATCATATACAAACGCTTGAACGACTTATTGATCTGACGTAGATACATTCTCGGTAAAGGTTATTTCGAAAAATTACTTATTTCGAAGTCAGTCCGTTTATTCCTAATGGTACCCTGTCAAAAAAGCGGAATGTCAAACCGGAACGGAAAAAAATAATCCTTGAACGACCTACTGAGCCGAGATTCGAGGACTGCATCCCGTTTGGATATTGTGAAATGTTTTATCCAGATTCTCATCTTTTGTCTCCCACACAGGATCGAGACGGCGATACTCCAATCTTTGACGCCATTGGTAAAGACCAATACGAGGCTGTGGACGTCCTTCTGACGTCATCGAAGCTGGACCTGACGGTTGCCAACAAAAGAGGATTCACGCCTATTCACACGGCGGCCTTTAAGGGCTCGGCTAGGTATCGTGTGAAACAGGTTTCATTCGTCACCACTCGCCCATTTCCGTGGCCTGCCGGAAGACTCGTCCCCCTATCGATGAATGTTATGTGCGAAAATTCGACAAACCATACAGAATGCGCGTATGACTTCAAGTACTTCGGTCAAAGAATCATTCAGGAATATTTTTTATTCCACACGTCTTGCATCTTAATATATCCCTTTGATACAGTGAGACGTGTTCAATCAATATATACCGTGAGTCCCAATGTGTTTTCAATAGCATCTGGAATATATATGATATAAGGGAGAAATATACGTGAATCATTACGCAACGAGTTGACAATTTTTTTAGCTATGCCCGTTTGCGCTCAGACGGAACCTAGTCGCAAATATGGCCACGAGAGGTCACGAGTCGCTATTCGACTTGTCCCGGAATAACACGAGTTGGTCACGAATGAAACATGTCTATTAGAAACATACCAATACCTGCCTTCGCGGACAGAACTTAATTTAATAGGAGCCCATAGGGGCGAGCTTATCTGAGCCTCATCATGTAATAACTGTTGATGAGAGTAACGAGTGATGGGGTGTGCATTTCAGTTATATCACGGCGTGTCAGCTTAATGTGGGAGGAAAACCCGACGTAATGCAAGTCTCAGACGTTTACCACTTTCACGAAACCCACGAGAAGGGTGCTGACAACTCAGTATAGTAATGTGGGATTCGAACCCACGATCAAAGACTTGTCGACACATCCATATAGTCGAGAGAGCCGATTTGACAAAAGAGCAGTAAGCGTAGGGATGCAACATACCCACGTTTACCGTTTAACCAAAGCAGTTAACGTCCACGACCTGCATCCAGCTGACACGCCTGAAATAACTGAAACTCACTCCCTCACTGAAACACTGATCAAAGGAAAAGGGGAAATCAGGTGTTATGTAGGAAGTGTATTTATGTGCAGTATCATTTCTATGTATGTAAATAATATATCGAATCCTGTTTTTTCAAAGACCTCGGGACTATCGACTAATTGACTTGCCCGTAGTTCGGGATCAGTGTTTGTACCGACAAGGCCCATAAAGTCACATCAATATATACACGTATAGGGTCAGGGTAGGGGTCAGGGTCAGGGTAGAGGTCAGGGTCAGGGTTAGGGTAGGGGTCAGGGGTCAGGGTCAGGGTAGGGGTCAGGGACAGTGTAGGGGTTAGGGGTCAGGGTAGGGGTCAGTGTCAGGGTCAGTGTCAGGGTTAGGGTAGGGGTCAGGGTTATGGTTAAGGTAGGGGTCAGGGTCATGGTTAAGGTAGGGGTCAGGGTTAGGGTAGGGGTCAGGGTCAGGGTCGGGGTTAGTTAATGGAGTTCGACTTTACCAAGTTTCACTGCATTGAAAGAGCAACGAATCACACACATCAATATAAACGAACATCTGTTGCACCAGACTAGCTGAGAAGATTCTGGGTCGAAACCGTGGTCTGGTCAATCTGAAGAAAGAAGATGGCTTCACTGCGCTCCATCTTGCCGCCTTCAACGATCACGCGGAGGTCGCCCGCATCCTCATAAGCGTTGTGAGTAGACATACCCCGGGTTGGGGGAGAAGGGTAGGCCCCACTTCATCTAGCGTTCATGGAGTGGTGGGTAGCTCAATCGTTAAAGCGTTGACTCATCAAGCTGCAGAGCCGTGTTCGATTCCCCAACTGGGTACAATGTGTGGCTACATGCTGTCGTGCTGTGGTTCAGTTAGTGAATATCTACAACATGGCGATGGCCTCATGGATAACGCTCTGCCTTGTCCAGTCACGTCACCTGCAGACAAAATGTGTAAGTCCCTAAATTGGTACAAATTGTGAAGCCCATTCTTTGTATACCCCGCCATGATGTAGCTGGAATCCTGATGGCGGCGTAATGCAACACTCACTCACTGAATGTGTGTTTACTTTGCCAGGGCAGGGCGGACCTGAATGTTCAGGGCACAAAGGGGGAGACGCCATTACACCTGGCGTGTAGGGAGGCCTACCTGAGCCCCACACAGGTCCTGGTCAAGACGGGTGAGTTGGGTTGGGGTGAGTTGGGTTGGGGTGAGTTGGGTTGGGGTGAAACTAAGAAATGTGCCTAATTTAATCTAAACATCTAGGTATAAACGTTCATAGGGGCAAAATAGAGGTTGTATTTACTTTATATTATTTGTTGTCATAAGTCCGGTTGACTGAGCTGTGTTTAAAGATTTAAATTTAATATTAAGGCTTAAAAGTTCAAAAAGCCAATTTGAGACTTCACAGAAATCATCAGTTCACTCTCGATTATCTGTGATGGAGAATATGTCTAGGGTCTTTCTCATTATCAAATAGAGATGTAATACGCTGGATAATCGAGTGTGTGTGCGTGTGCCGTCACGTACATGCGTTTGCGCGCTTTGCTCAATTTCTAGGGTAAATTCAGCTTAACCTCGGCTGTACCATAACATATGCATTTCAGGAGCCAATGTGAATGTCAAGGACAACCAAGGTAACACCCCCCTGCACGTGCTTCTGATGGGGAACCAGGAGGGGGCCCTGGTGAGTACATATCCCCTTTGTTGGTGTGTTTGTGTGTTTATTTGTTCGTTTGTGTGTTTGTCGCTGCGCTCAACAATAGTCCAGCTACATGAAGGCTTCGTACGATAACACTCAATCAGCTGCTTCAGTCGCCTCTCGAGACAAGAACAGAATACTCGGGACCTGTTCTAACCCGGAGGCATGTTTTTTTCTGATGACATAGATAGGTACATATACTGACAGGTGAGGTGAGGCGAAACCGGGTTTAACGTCGCGTCCAAGATTATTGCACTTATATAGCGACGTGCATGCACATGTGTGTGTGGCTGCTTGTACTAGACCGGACTGATGCTGATTTATAGTGCTAGCTCACTGAGATACCATGCCGCAGTTTAACATAAAAAAACCACTCAGACACAGTATACTGACTCCGAGCCAACCAGTCCTTGTTTTAGCCCCTTAATGCCGAGCGCCAGACAGTGAAAGAACAAGTACCATCTTTTAACGTCTTTTTGTATGACGCGGCCGGGAATCGAACCGCGGACTTTCCGTTCTCCGGGCGGACGCTCTACCACTAGACCACGAAGCCGGTATATACTGACAGAGGAAAATAAGGGAATAGGTAGCAATCTTGGAGAAGATCGTGTACGTGTATGTCACGTGGCATAGAGATGAAAGCGATTTAATGTACTGTGAGGAGTTACGTCCCTTATTGCCTCTCCAGGATCCACTGATCGTAGATTCGAATCCTATATTCGCCGCTGCAATTTGGTGACTCCTTCAGGGCTCTGTTCGTGTTGTTTTACGCGGCTTTGTAGAAATATTCCAGCAACAACGACAATTAGTTTCACATATAACATACTACATTATTTGTTCAGCATTTACGGCTGAAAACAGTTTTCATTATTTTATTTTTTTAAACAAATCCCAGGCCCGACGTAAAATATCAATTAGTCGGAGGGGAGGCTTGATCGTGTTGTTGTGCGCAGGTCACCGAGAGTCTTCCCACCGTGCTATTTCATTTGTCAGCACTCGCCCCTTTCCGTAACCCGCAAGAAGACTCGTCCCCCTCTCGATGAATGTTATGTGCGAAAATACGACAAACCAATCAGAGTGCGCGTATGATTTCAAGTACTTCGTCAAAGAATCCCTCAGAAATAATTTTTGATTTTACATATGTCTTGCATCTAAAAATATACCAAAGACACAGTGAAATGTGTTCAATCATATTGTATAATTCCGCACGTCCCGATGTGCTTTAAAAGGCATCTGAAATATATATAATTTTTGGGGAAATATATGTGAACCATTACGCAACGAATTGACAATTGTTTTAGTTATGCCCGTTTGCGCTAAGACGGAACCCGGTCGCAAAAATGGCCACGAGAGGGGCACGAGTCGCTATTCGGCTTGTCCCGGAATAACACGAGTTGGTCACGAATGCGTGCTATTTATGATTCCAGTTGCGGATGTTGGTTGGACAGCCTCCGAAGGTTGACGAAGAAAGCCGAGTGCGCATTGCCTGTTACCTCCTGCAACACCAGGCAGATCTGACCGTGAAGAACAACAGTGACCAGACCGCTATGGACATATGTCGGAGTGAGAAGATCAAACAAGCGGTCCGTTCCTTCAGCCAGACAAGGTTCGTGTGACGCCGGCAACCCGCGGTGTCCTCCATTTGTGTAATGTTGTTTAACGCCGCACTCGGCAATATTCCCGCCATATGACAGCGGCATGTAAATTATCGCATCTGGACCAGACAATCCCGTGATTGATATTATGTTGGTTGGTTGGTTGGTTTGGTGTTTAACGCCGCACTCAGCAATATTCCAGCTATATGACGGCGGTCTGTAAATAATCGAGTCTGGACCAGACAATCCAGTGATTGATGTCATGAGCATCGATCCACGCAATTGGGATCGATGACATGCATCAACCAAGTCAGCGAGCCTGACCACCCGATCCCGTTAGTCGCCTTTTATGACAAGCATAGTCACCTTTTACGGCAAGCATGGGTTGCTGAAAACCTATTCTACCCCGGAATCTTCACGGGTCGATTGATATTATGAGCAACGATCCATTCCTTAAGGGTACCATGACGCACAATAAACCAAGTCACCGAGCCTGACGCTCGATCGTTTCAGTTGCCTTGCTTGGAAACGGAAGAGCCAGTGGGAAGTACCGCCATACAATCTCGGTCATCGATAGACATGTTACAATTTTCTGGACCCGTGAATATCCGGGCTAGAATAGGTTTTCACCGACTAACGGCGTAAGAGGCGCCTAACGGGATTAGGTGTTCAGACTCGCTGACTTGGTTGATGCATATCATCATATCCCAAATGCGTGGATCGATGCTCATGATGTCAATCTCTGGATTGTCTGGTCCAGAATCGATTATTTATAGACCGCCGTCATATAGCTGGAATATTGCTGAGTGCGGCGTTAAACAACACACAAAAAACACAATTTTCCCTTTTTCAGTTTTCAAATTATGAATCGAAACTTTGTCAAAATAGTTTTTTTAGGTATAGTCTGGAATTGAAGTCGTCAATTTGAAATGACTTCCGTAAGGCTCGAAAAGCTTCTTTCTGATTGGCTACTGGCGACTCCTTGTTGGCTATTTCATTGGTCGGTCAAAGTTGGCGAAAGGTCGTTCTGACGTGACCTGTAATGGGAGTCCTCAGATCTTTGTTCATCGGTAGCGAAGGTTAAAATCTGATTTTAATGAGATTTTGTTTGTCCTCCTAGACCAGAAGCAATTGAGGGCTGTAATTCTAAACCAGTTCTCAATTTGCTACGAATTGTAACGAAATAGAACTGGCAGAAAATGTAAACAAAGTGAAAATCTTTTGTCTCGTTCAAGCAGGACCAGCTACAAACTCTAAGGACTAGTAAAATGAAGTTTCCACTAATCCTATTGACTGGTTTAAAAAACGAATTTCCATGACTAAATGTTCTAGCCCTTTTAAATGACACTCCAGGGATATCACTAAATACTCCACAAGACGGCGTTAAACCACATTCACTCACGAACTACAGTTGCGCCTTCCGATCTCGGTCAAGCGGTACAAAGCAATCTTAGCGCAAAGTTTAAGGCCCTAAGTACTGCTGGAATATTCCAGAGCCCTATACAGTAAACTACGGTTATAACGAACTCAAAGGGACTACTAATTTTAGTAGTTCGTAGTTCGTTATAAGCATATATACAGCATAACTACAGCAAATAGACGGGATCAAAAAAGTAAGTTCGTTATATCCGTCAGTTCGTTATAAGCGTGTTCGTTATAACCGTAGTTTACTGTATTCATAAACGTGTGGAGCACAAAGGGCGCGTAACTGAGTGAGTAGGCTTTGCAAAATTTCAGTAATATTACCGACAGTGGACCTTAAGAGTCGTTAAAACATACGCTCGATCAGCCAGATACGTACTCCGTCGCTGCCGTCAGGGTTACGAACAAGGATCACCAGATTCTTCAGGCAACTTCTCCTAGGAAACATTCGTTGTACAAGAAAGATTTCTCTTCCAGCTCTTCAGTTGGTCAGGCATCACCGCAGGTCACAATGAGTTCACAGCAGGTCACACTGAGGTCAGACGACCGAGGCCCTAAGCTGTGCTGCAAATGTATGGACGTCCGCGCTAACGCCATCTACCTTCCCTGTGGCCATAAAGAGACGTGCCGGAAGTGCTGTGTCGGCGTCAGGACATGCGGCGCATGCGGGAGAGACGTCACGAGGAAGGTCACCGAAGGTTAGTTTCAAATACCAACACGGTGGCCATGTTGCTTAGTTTCCTGTTTAACTCAATACACGATCCAGGATTTTTAAAACGAGCGTGGATGGGTGGTTGTAGGAGCAAATTTTCTCATTCTAAAAACCAGGAGGGTGTGTTTTATTTGAAATTTAAATTGTTATTTTGTGTTTGGTTGGATGTGAGTGAGTGAGTTAATATGGTTTTACGCTGCTTTTAGCAATATTCCAGCAATATCACGGCGGGGGGACACCAGAAATGGGCTTCACACATTGTACCCATGTCGGGAATCGAACCCGGGTCTTCAGCGTGACGAGCGAACGCTTTAACCACTAGGCTCAATACTAGGGGTCTCAATACTGTATGTATACCTTCAGTAGGACAATAGGGCAATAATTCACATATGTAATTCATTAATTAGAAGATAGTTCATGGAGATTCATGCCGCTGGTACTCATCAAATATGAGGAGAAAACTGAAAGGTGTAGGAGAACAATTCGGGTCGTGTGATTATTTTGTGAATTTCTTTTAAAGTGACCTGTCATTTGTTATTCAGGGGGCCTGGGATTTTATCCCCAAAAATAAATCGACCCAGAAAATGCTTGAAAAAGATAATTACGCTTCTGTTGAAATGAAAATATTGTCTGCCACAAAACATTGTGCAAGATGTTTTTAAAAAAAATATATCAAATAGTCGGTCCCAAACAAGACCTATATCCAATGGGCATGTGAGTCCCGTGATGATTATGAGAACAGGTCCCAAGCAACCTGTTAATAATGCTAAATGGACAGGGTCGTCAGGCTCAGTGACTTGGTGGAGTGCATGTCATCGTTTATCAGGGGCGGTCGGGTAGCCTAGTGGTTAAAGCGTTCGCTCGTCACGCCGAAGACCCGGGTTCGATTCCCGACATGGGTACATTGTGTGAAGCCCATTTCTGGTGTCCCCCGCCGTGATATTGCTGGAATATTGCTAAAAGCGGCATAAAACCATATTCACTCACTCACTCATCGTTTATCGACGGCGTGGGTCGTCGCTCGTCATACCAATCACTTGATACTTGTCTATACTCGGTTACAATCGTGTGACAAACTGATAATGAAATATAAGGTTTTCATTGTTTTCACTGTAATTCTCAATGTCGCAGCTATGACTGATCAATTATTAATTTCACTTACAAAAAACAAAGATCAGAAAGGAATGTTTAATCATTATGCCGGCAGATCCTTATTTTTCAACATGTTGCTATAGAAACACACTTTGTTTCAGACGGAAACAGAATCGGAAAAGACTGTGTCATTCAATAGACCAGGGTAGAATCTACAGTCCTGTTCTTGAAAGCAGTGAACCGTCTCTGGCTTGGGATATAGTGAGTGAGTGAGTGAGTTGGGTTGAACGCCGCTTTTAACATTATTCCAGTTATATCGCGGCGTGTCAGCTTCATGTGGGAGGAAAGCCCGAAGTGATGCAGGTCTCAGACGTTTACCACTTCGGTGAAACCCACAAGCACGGGTATGGTGCTGACAAACCTAGAAACATAATCGGGGCGAACCGGGATTCGAACCCACAATCATAGGTTTCTGGCGTGCCCAAGGGACGCAACTCTGCACAGCGAATGGAATATAGTGCGTTTCAAGACAATATTCTTCATCGGTGTAAAACTAGGAATGTGTGCGTTGCTTAGCCTTGGTCCATCTTATAACCATGTAACACACAAGGACACGACAAGGACACGACAAGGACCCGACAAGGACCCGACAAGGACAGGACAAGGACCCGACAGGGAAACAACAAGGACACGACAGGGAAACGACAAGGACACGACAGGGAAACGACAAGGACACGACAAGGACACGACAAGGACCCGACACGTTCTGAGACATTTGGAGGTGGTCCTTTGTGGTAGTCGTTGTAACTGGGAAACTGACACCGTGAACACAGCGCCCATCCAGGAATGTGTACACTCTCGTCAAGTGAATTGTTGCCGGACCATGACTTCAAAAGCCTTGTTCAGTCAGCAGCCAAGTCAAGGACTGAAACGTAGTCGGTGTATCATCAGCTATCAGCACCAGACACCAAGCCTGGTCCCCAACTCTGTCTGTTGACTGTTATCAACGACTACCGTCCATCGTCGCTGTCTCAACCAGAAGAACCAACATTAGGAAAACAGTATTAAAGCCCAAAAGATCATGATAGACTGTCTGATTTCCGTTCTCAAATGTGACTTTCCCTTTTCGTGTTCTGAAGTTAGAGACTCTTTGATTGGCATTTCTAGAAGTTGGTAAGTAACAGTTAAGACAAGCTATTTTCATGTATGACTACTTCTTTATTAAAATTAATTAAATTAAGGATTTGAATAGCGCATTTTCAAATTAACAACTGCTCAAAGACACCTAGACCATGATTGACCAAGTCAAAGGTTCTCTTGAAGAGACTGGTTTTGAATTTCTTTTTAAAGCTTGTCAGATTTTGTTTCTCTGATTTCTTGTGTCAGATTGTTCAATAGCAATGGGCCAGCATGTTGAAATGACCTATCGCCATCTGTTTTGTGTTCCGTGACTTTGGCACCACTATCAGATGATGGTCTTTTGATATTGTATAATGTCACTTTATCAATCATTATCCTATTTTGTTGTTAATCCCTGCCATGAATTCCTCATGTTGTTTGTGTTAATCTTTACTAGACGTATATAAGTCTGTACTGTGCTGTCTTACTTCACTCTTGCTTGACATATGTATAAGGATCTATACTGAAGTAGTCATCCTTACAAATATCATGTCTGCCGTAGGAACTCTGAAGCAAAGTCACTACTTGACCAAGGTCGAGGACCTTACTTTAACAAGCACTTGACTTAAAACATTTCTTCCTTTTTAAGCTTAAGGCATTTCTGTTTGCCACTGTAGGCAATATCTGTATAAATGATTTGCTACTACGTATGTTCATTAATGTTCATTTTCTTTGTTTACAAAGTCCTAGCAACTATTCTCGCTGGGTTTGCGGGATAGCCTTGTACCGTACCGGACGCGGTGGGTCATATCACTGGTTGAGAGATCTGGGCAGGATTATTTACAGACCGCCGTCATGTAGCTGGACAACACACCAGTGAACATGTGAATGTGTTCCCTCTGTGTGTGTGTTTTGTTTGTTGTCGCACTATCGTCCAGCTTTATGACGGCGCTCTGTAAATAATTGAGTCTGGACCAGACAATACAGTGATTGACATCATGAGCATTGATCAACGCAATGTGGGTGCGTTGACATGCATCAACCATGTCAGCGAGCCTTACCACCCGATCCCGTTAGTCGTCTTTTACCTACCGATTCTAACCCGGATCTTCATGGGTCTCTGTGACATATGTTTGAGGGTGGCAAGCATCGATTTTTATAGTTTACTTGGGACTGTTGAAACTTCAATTAACTCATACGTGGTGAAGCCAGTTGTTATATTTCTAATTGTAATGATAGTTCACGAAGACACACACACCACACCACCCTTGGTATACTTCGTTTCTATCCAAAAGTGAGTGAGTGAGTGAGTGAGTTTGGTTTAACGCCGCTTTTAACAGTATTCCAGTCATATCGCGGCGTGTCAGCTTAATGTTGGAGGAAAGCCCGAAGTGATGCAGGTCTCAGACGTTTACCACTTCGGTGAAACCCACAAGCACGGGTATGGTGCTGACAAACCTAGAAACATAATCGGGGCGAACCGGGATTCGAACCCTAAATCATAGGTTTCTGGCGTGCCCAAGGGACGCAACTCTGCACAGCGAATCGCGGCGCCTTAGACGATTGGGCCACCCGTGCCCCCTTCTATCCAATAGGTTTAAATGATAATCATATGAGAATATACACTGAGAACTAGGTCTACCTCGCTCCTCGATGTGCAGAGAAAGCCAGAAACCAGGTACGAATCTCGATTCGTTCTGATTATGTTTCTAGGTTTCAAAGTGATAAACGTCTGAACCATGCATCATGTCTGGATTTCCTCCCACATTAAGTTGACAGGTCTTGATACAACTGGAATACTGTTCAAATCCCCGTTTTACCCGACTCACTCACTCACTCACTGAAAAAATGCTTATGCGACATAAAATCTGAAGTCACTCACTAAAGTTCGAGGTACAGATCCTAATAATACAGTAAACTACGGTTATAACGAACTCAAAGGAACCACTAATTTTAGTTTGTAATAACAGTTGTTCGTTATAAGCATATATCGAATAGTTATCATTGTTAATAAATTATTCTAAGAATACTACCTCTATTACATCTCAGCCATTAATCCTCTATTTTGGCTTCATTCACACAAACTAAAAGTTTCAGATTTTCAACAGATGTCCTCTTCACTGTCAATTACGCACAATTAGTTGCCGCCAAGTAGTCTCGTAACTTCCCACGCCATGACGTCACAATGGCGGCCATATCACTTTTTCCCCTCATCTCCTGCTAGAGGTAGATGAATTTGGGAGGTGGGATGGAGTAATTCGAATGTAATAGTGGTAGTATACTTAGAATTGTTAACGATCATAACTATTGTTGATAATTCTTACGAAACTCCTACCTCTATTACATATCTGCCAGAATATATCCCGGTGGGATCTGCATCTAGTAACTCCCTGTGTAATTGACAGAAATCCTCTTCTGGAAATCTTAATGTACTGATTCTAATCCAACTAAGATAATTTTCCTCTGAAATTCCCCCTGAGGACTTAAAAATCAGAAACTATGTCATTAATCAGTCAAATATGTGATATTATCACTAGTTTTACCACTATGTTTGCTGGTTTTGATCATAATAAACCTGGATTAGTGAACTATAATACCGGCGATTATGTCACTTCCGGTTATGACGTCACTTCCGGTATGTCACTTCCATTTTTTTGGTAGTGACGCCTCTTTAGGTCTATTTCTATCCCAAAATCGTCATTTCCTGGTTAGGTCTTTGTTCAGCTATTTCCGGTGCTGACGTAACTTTCAGGTTTCGCTGTCACTTCCGTAATGACGTCACTTCCTGTCAACGGTGATAGATGCCATTTAAGGTGCTTCTAATCCATCTTACACCTAATAAGCAGAGTAATCAAGGGTGTGTACTTCATCCATCTAGCCTTTGTGATATCCTTGTTCGAAATGGTCTTAGAGGATAGAAATAATCTCCTTCGATGGCGTCTATGTGGGTCTGTAGCCGAGAGAAAGAACTTGAGAGCTCTGATTGGACATAAGAGTCTGTCTGGTTGATCAACTGTTGGTCCCTATGCTGAGATTGTATAGTGTCTATGGCCCAATGGCTATGGCTAGCAGAAACAATGTTTTCCTGGCTTTTTTAAGTTGGGTAGCCTTCACCATGGGTTCGTAAGGTTCCGTTAACAGTGCCGATAAAACCACGGATAGATTCCACATGGGGAAGATACGAGGGGTCCTAATATCTTCTAGTAGAAGGGATTTTTGGCCAAACATCCCGGCCTGACCGCACATCCCGGCCTGACCGCACATCCCAGCCTGACCACACATCCCAGCCTGGCCACACATCCCACACACCCCAGCCTGGCCACACATCCCACACACCCCAGCCTGGCCACACATCCCACACACCCCAGCCTGACCACACACCCCAGCCTGACCACATATCCCAGCCTGGCCACACATCCCACACACCCCAGCCTGGCCACACATCCCACACACCCCAGCCTGACCACACACCCCAGCCTGGCCACACATCCCAGCCTGGCCACACATCCCACACATCCCAGCCTGACCACACATCCCACACATCCCAGCCTGACCACACATCCCACACATCCTAGCCTGGCCACACATCTCAGCCTTGCCACACATCCCACACATCCTAGCCTGGCCACACATCTCAGCCTTGCCACACATCCCACACACCCCAGCCTGACCACACACCCCAGCCTGACCACACATCCCACACATCCTAGCCTGGCCACACATCTCAGCCTTGCCACACATCCCACACATCCCAGCCTGGCCACACATCTCAGCCTGGCCACACATCCCACACATCCCAGCCTGGCCACACATCCCACACACCCCAGCCTGACCACACACCCCAGCCTGGCCACACATCCCAGCCTGACCACACATCCCACACATCCCAGCCTGGCCACACATCCCACACACCCCAGCCTGACCACACATCCCACACATCCCAGCCTGACCACACATCCCAGCCTGGCCACACATCTCAGCCTTGCCACACATCCCAGCCTGGCCACACATCTCAGCCTTGCCACACATCCCGGCCTGGCCACACACCCCAGCCTGACCACACATCCCAGCCTGGCCACACATCTCAGCCTTGCCACACATCCCAGCCTGACCACACACCCCAGCCTGGCCACACATCTCAGCCTGACCACACATCCCGGCCTGACCACACACCCCAGCCTGACCACACATCCCAGCCTGACCACACATCTCAGCCTGACCACACATCCCAGCCTGGCCACACATCTCAGCCTGACCACACATCTCAGCCTGACCACACATCCCACACACCCCAGCCTGACCACACATCTCAGCCTGACCACACATCTCAGCCTGACCACACATCTCAGCCTGACCACACATCCCACACACCCCAGCCTGACCACACATCTCAGCCTGGCCACACATCCCAGCCTGGCCACACATCCCGAGTTGCCTCATCAGCAACAAGTTGCAGGGAACATACTATGTTTCCTAGCATTAGTAAGAATAGCACAAAGACAAGTAATGGAACAAAAGAGTTTAATTCTTATATTAAAATGTAGTATTCAATAAATTAACAACATTGGCAATGAAGGACAAGGCATTAAATAATGACAGCAATGATCAGATCTTTGTCAGACAGCAAGCTGGCAAGTATTTATAATTAATAATGATAATAATTTCTTATATATTTATTCCTCGAGAAAGCTTTACCTTCATAAATGCCACAGAAATCAGTGCATATCATTGGAGAAAGGGAGAAGTCCTTATTAATCAAGCATGCGATACGTAAACCAGGAAACGACTTTTCACACCTTGGAATCCAAATCAGACCAATTGAATCTCAAAACACACTTGACAGACATTATTCGATTAACTGACATAAACATTGATCCAAAGCTCACAGACTCCTGTCAAACAATTAGTAATGGGAAGTATTTTGGTATAATATTCAACATGTTACCAGAATAAATATTTTCCAAAATGGCACACCAAAACAAGGTGTTGTTTCTCAGAATTGTTTTATATACCTTCAAAACACTTTTAGGTTTGAGTTCGGTGTACAGAATGGGTGGGGCCACTATTACATGAATATATGTTGTCATGTAGTGACAGTTACCTCCCCTTAGTGTGTACAGGAATTAGAAAAACAAAACTGCAGCATGAGAGAGAAAAGGGCCGAGGTAGAAACGAGACGCAAAAGACCTAGCATGACCATGGAAGCTGAGAACTGAAGAGGTGGCAGTAGGTGACCAAGGAAGCAAGGCAGGTGGTGGGTGCAGGGCTTGTGCTTCCCTCAGCAGTCTGGCATTAAACCCTAAGGAAGTATCAAAACCTAACACTATAAAGCCTGATAAGGCCAGGGGCAGTAACTCTGTATAGCGAGCTGCAGCATGGTGACCACAGGGCCAATAGAGTGTGAGTTTCCACAGGGGCAGTAACTCTGTATAGCGAGCTGCAGCATGGGGACCACAGGGCCAATAGAGTCTGAGTTTCCCAAGGGCAGTAACTCTGTATAGCCAGCTGCAGCATGGTGACCACAGGGCCAATAGAGTCTGAGTTTCCCAAGGACAGTAACTCTGTATAGCCAGCTGCAGCATGGAGACCACGGGGCCAATAGAGTCTGAGTTTCCCAAGGACAGTAACTCTGTATAGCCAGCTGCAGCATGGTGACCACAGGGCCAATAGAGTCTGAGTTTCCCAAGGGCAGTAACTCTGTATAGCCAGCTGCAGCATGGTGACCACAGGGCCAATAGAGTCTGAGTTTCCATAGGGCAGTAACTCTGTACTGCCAGCTGCAGCACGGAAACTTCAGGGCCAATAGAGTCTAAGTTTTCCAAGGGCAGTAACTCTGTTTAGCCAGCTGCAGCATGGAGACCACAGGGCCAATAGAGTCTGAGTTTCCATAGGGCAGTAACTCTGTACTGCCAGCTGCAGCACGGAAACTTCAGGGCCAATAGAGTCTAAGTTTCCCAAGGGCAGTAACTCTGTATAGCCAGCTGCAGCATGGTGACCACAGGGCCAATAGAGTCTGAGTTTCCAAGGGCAGTAACTCTGTATAGCCAGCTGCAGCATGGAGACCACGGGGCCAATATTGGAACCTTTATTTGCAATTGTGAAGCCAGTATGCTAGGATTTCTAGCTGAAGGCATGTGATTGACAGAATTTTCTTGTGTCGTGATGCTCCTAAAGTTATATAATGATGCAGTGTCAACTCTCTAATCATGAGCTCTGAAAAGCAAGCGACCTTTTAAAGAAATAAGCCCATTGTTGTGGAATTAGGCATCTTTCAAATGCAGAGAAAAATAAAAACAAATTTCTGACTAGTTAATACTGCAGACAATATCTTTATCTTAATAATTGATAATGATAATAATGATAATAATAATAATAATAATGATAATAATAATAATAATATGAGGTCACTTGTATTGAGAATGTTCTATGTATATGAACCATTTGGAATGGCACATCCTCCTCAGCTTCCAGCTTCTGGCACACAATAGCAAAAAGATATGAGTGTCACGGACCAACTGGTTCTTATTTGGGAAAGGATTAAAAGGTGTCTATCTGTGAGATAGATACTTGATAAAAAAAGCAACAAAAATCACCAATGTGCCTATCAAATAGGCCAATAGGGCCCGTAAGTAGGTCACGGGACTATGCGAGACTTACGGGCCCTACAACAGGAAACAGTCCTCCACAGAAAACAGTCAATCATGTGCAGACTTCACACAGTCTACCTGGTGCAGATTATGACAAGTCAACCCCCAGCTAGCACTTGTGGAAAAGGTTGCTGACAGTGGATAGAAACATTAAAACATCTGGTATATTAAACATGTATACAACACATGCATAATCTACATCACAAAAAATATATGCTGATAATTATAAACAATTTTGCATCATTCAGTTGATTAAACCACTTTTCAAATAGAAAAGTTATATTATGTGTGTCAGTATTTGTCTTTCTATACATTAAAACCTTGTCATCATATCAAAAGGTTATTTTGGATAATCTAAATATGAAGAGACAAGAAGTAGTCCTCAAAAGTCATAGCAATGAATAAAGAAGTTGTTATCTATAAAAAGTCTTTGTGTTCTTCCAACTTCTAAAAGCCTTTCAAGCATGTAATTAAAAAAATTAACCATTTAAATTTCTAACACTGACTATCTAGCCTGATAAGGCCAAGGGCAGTAACTATGTACTGCGAGTTGCGGCACAAAGACCAAAGGGTCGATAGAGTCTGAGTTTCCAAAGGGCAGTAACTCTGTATAGGTACCCAATTCAACTGCACACTTTAACATGATACAGCGACAAAAAGACCAATCTGAACACACAATATGCACACTTCTATTTTAACAAGTAGAGGCAAACATCTACAACTAAACAAATATATGAATATACAGCAAAACCCTGTCAGTCCACAACCCTGCAGCATACTGTCAACTGACACACAGGACAATGCTTCCCAGACATCGGTTACTCCTGAAGGTTCTTCCACACAATTCCACTGGCTAAGGCACTCTGAATAAACAGGGTTTTACTGTACACAGGATCATCTCAAAGACAATTTACAAACGACAAATATTCAACTATGCAAAGAAAAGTGGCCATCGCTTACTACAGGTGATATGTGTGAGACTGATTGACAAGAACAGGTGACTTCACCCTACAGGAGTTAATTCCTGAAAACACAGTGGAATCTATGGCACTTAATTTGACCTGCAAATCAAGATGACCGGAGTCAAACTGAATCAAACTCCTGAAACTACTATATCACATTTCGTTAATTAATTTTCTAGCATAACTAATTATTGCTGTAAAACTTATGGCAAACTAGGATTGATAAAATACTCTTGGTTCTCAGGTCTTGGATCAGTAAACACCCCTGCATAATAGCATTTCATTTTTTAAAACACACGAAAAAATTGATGAGATAATTCTATTCACAAACAGGTGAATTTTTTCAAATTTAAAGGACGCTATACATCACAAAATTTTCTGAATTCATCGTGGGAGCTGGGTTTATTTGAGTTACAACTGTTTGTCTGCTGAACAAGAAGAAAGCCCAACCTGATGCCAACGTGGGCATGTACAGAGGTGAACCTTAAGCACAGGTATTTACTGATGGACTATTGATCATCATCGGGGCGAGTCTCGGATCTCCAACCCACATCCTGGTGATCCAAAGGGATGCAACTCTGCATAGCTAATAGATCCCTGGTGCTGACCATGCCTCCCTCACTGCCTGTGAACCAAGACTATTGTCCTTCCACTGCCTTGAATGAATTGTTGGGACTTGCAAGAGTTGTGTTGAATTAAAACATGAACACTGTAGTCCTACATCATGCTGCGTGTGATGAAGAAAATGTGCTGATGGAATAAAAGTGTGTTGGAGATACTGGGCGCTGATGCCCTTGCAACGTTACAGCGCTAGTATGAACAAAAGGAAGTAGGACAAATAGACATGCTGATCAAAGACGCTTGTCAGAAAGGCAAAGGCAAATTGCTTAAATCATATTACTGATGTGTATAAATTAATAGAACATATAAACTTAGATAATGTGTAACCTATCAAGGTCAATACATGGTGCTGGCCCGAGAGTCAGCTGCAGGTATTGCGGCCAGGCACATAGATGTAAAGGACGTAAACGTAGCCTCAGTAGCTTCTATCTCAACTGTGGAGCACTTTTTGTAAACATTCACTTCAATTATTAAACCACATGAACAACAAAAAAATGGGTTCAAATACAAACAAATGATTACTAGTTTGAAAATGTGGTCTTATTTCATTATCTTGATTTCAAGCGACACAAGATTTGGAACACATAATTTGTACAGAAAGTTATAATCATGTCCATTACTTAAAAAATTCACATAGAAAAATGTATGAACACACAGGTTTGGCACCTCTGATGTCTGACTAGACAGGGATCTACCTGGACCTGCTCGAGGCCATGTTCAGCCCACTCAAAGCAAAGGTCAGCAGCAATTCCGAAACTGAATCCAACATTTCCCAATGGACGTAACTGCAGACATGACTAATGTTATGGCTTTGTAAAGTGACTTGTATTACCAATAAAGACCAATAGGCAGGAAGATGTTTTAGCGCTTACTGTCACATTTCTGCATTGAATGTAATGTTCCAAATTCAACATTAAAATTACTCTGAATTTCATAAAATAGGAACGTTTGGAAAAAAACAAGATTTTTTACCAATTGCCAGCCAAGGGCATTTAGTTCGGACTCCTAGTCAAATTGCCTAGATAAATCCCTGCTAGTTTTGCCACCTTCCCAAACTGAATGTGCCAGGACACTCCACATGCTACAGATCTACGAGTTGAAAGATTGTCATTAATCATGTGCATAGTATAAAACAAACAACAGGACGAGGTTGAATGTCATACCCTTGGTCCTTCTGTGTCCTCTCCAGTATATAACCTGCATCCCCTACTTGGTCATCCTGCGCCCTGCACGATCTAATATACCATAGTCCTACATAACAGGGCCAACTAGTTCACACGCTCTTATACAAATGATGGGAAATATATGTCCCAGTACATACACAGTGAATCAATGATGTGGATACTGAATGATGTCATGCTGAAAACATCAGACAATTAACAATGGATTTCAATGACACTCCTCAATATGAGAAAGGCATTATACTATAGCTCATTTGTTACATATATCTAAAGAATTAAAAACCCAAAGTCTCAAAGTAGGTAAAAACAAAGACATTTGTTAGACTGTAAAAGATAAGTGATTCCTTAGCCCTACACTGATGGGATCTCAGAACCTAGAACCGTACTCGCTGTACGAAGAACCCAGCGCCAATAAGTGCTTCCATAGACCTATCTGTAAGTAAGCTTTATCTGCACCCCCTCAGTAGACTGAACATTTGCTCGACAATCCATATTTTCTTGTGCATAGTAGTGCCTAGTAACTATTATCAATGCAACATTTTGTTTCATGGACTTTTAAACTAAGTTTCTCCACTACCACCCGATCTCAGAAAACAAATTGATTTGTTTGTTGATTTGGTTGTAATAAGTGAACCCGTTGTAAATTTTCCAACTGCCTATAGTGCTTATTACAGCAAATATGGTATATAAATTCAAAGACTGCTGACAACTGACCAAATGGTGATCAGATTCCTTGTCTGAATCTATGCACAGAGATTCACAGACTGCTAACAAGTGACCAAATGGTGATCAGATTCCTAGTCTGAATCTATGCACAGAGATTCACAGACTGCTAACAAGTGACCAAATGGTGATCAGATTCCTAGTCTGAATCTATGCACAGAGATTCACAGACTGCTAACAAGTGACCAAATGGTGATCAGATTCCTAGTCTGAATCCATGCACAGAGATTCACTGAGTGCTAACAAGTGACCAAATGGTGATCAGATTCCTAGTCTGAATCTATGCACAGAGATTCACAGACTGCTAACAAGTGACCAAATGGTGATCAGATTCCTAGTCTGAATCTATGCACAGAGATTCACAGACTGCTAACAAGTGACCAAATGGTGATCAGATTCCTAGTCTGAATCTATGCACAGAGATTCACAGAGTGCTAACAACTGACCAAATGGTGATCAGATTCCTAGTCTGAATCTATGCACAGAGATTCACAGACTGCTAACAACTGACCAAATGGTGATCAGATTCCTAGTCTGAATCTATGCACAGAGATTCACAGAGTGCTAACAACTGACCAAATGGTGATCAGATTCCTAGTCTGAATATATGCACAGAGATTCACAGACTGCTAACAACTGACCAAATGTTCAGTACCTAGCTGAATCTATGACGGTTTTAAGCAAAATGGTCTTGGTTACAATTAACAGCATTAATCTTTTCAGCCAAAGGCTTTAACTTTGACTCCATGTATAATAAACTGCTCTTCATATGCCAGTGTCGTGGCCTGTATGCAGGTGCTTGTAAGAACAGTCTGCATACAAGGAAGGTCCGGTATTATGTCAGAAACATGCAGAATAAAATACAGACTGAATGCAGACAGTTAAACATTGCACTTAATACCCTTCTAATCCTAAGTATCTGTCAGTGAGGTTTACTGTAACTATGACAACTAAAAACTGGTAAACAGCATCAATGTTTGTCCATTAATTCTCTAATCGTACTCTGTGCGATATCCATGGTTGTATAATGAGAAGAGTGACATGTCCTAATAGAACACTGATCATATAGGTCCTAATAGAAGAGTGATCACATAGATCCTAATCTCTCACACATTTACCAAAGAAGCTAATCCTGATGCAAACTTGGCAGTCTGTCACCAAAAATATAAAATACGGAAAAATGAATAACTGCATTTATCAGTAGTTTCCTCAAATTCTACGGCACATTCATTTCAGAATATTATCTTACACTGATGGAAGGGACTATAGGCACAAACAGACATTGAAAGTTCATTTGGCTACACACTTCACATATCTTTGTTTCTTTGACCACACTGTCCATGGTAAATACCTAGTTAGATAGTCCTTGTATGTGAGACGTGTGAGGCTACATCTGTGACAACAGGGGCTTGCTGCTACGTCTGTGACAACAGGTGCTTGCTGCTTCATCTGTGACAACAGGTGCTGTAGCTACATCTGTGACAACAGGTGCTTGCTGCTACCTCTGTGACAAAAGGAGCTACATCTGTGATAACAGGTTCTACATCTGTGGCAACAGGTGCTTGCAGCTACATCTGTGACAACAGGTGCTGCTGTGTCAACAGGTGCTTGCTGCTACATCTGTGACAACAGCTGCTGCTGTGACATGTGCTGCAACATCTGTGACAACAAGTGCTTGCTTCTACATCTGTGACAACAGGTGCTTGCTCCTACATCTGTGACGGCAGGTGCTTGCTGCTGCATCTGTGACAACAGGTGCTTGCTCCTACATCTGTGACGGCAGGTGCTTGCTGCTACATCTGTGACAACAGGTGCTTGCGCCTACATCTGTGACAATAGGTGTTTGCTGCTACATGTGTGGGGACCAATTTACACACAAACATGCCAGTGTTCCCACCTAACCCCATTATGTGTGAAGATGCATACTTCTAAATGTGAACACACTACAGTAAAACACAGAGATTCAACCTAAAACACCATCAGGAAGAAACCCAGGATTATGCATGCCTCAGAGGTGTACATTAAAAATCTAACATCAATCATGGCCTCAATCATTGCCAAGCTAAAATAGCACTTCAGGTACATAGCTCAACACCAAATTGCATAACGTTTGATATTTTAGGATTCCTCAGAGACATCTGCAGAGTGGACAAGCACAGCAGGTAGAGGGGACTTCACCAACAACATGGAGTACATTTACTTTGTATTATCTTCTGTGTGATTAATACCTTAAGGATTATCCTCAGCTTAATCCAATCACCACTGGTGGATCCGGAGGGAGTTGGGGGATGTGCACCCCATTATTCGACTCCCATCAAGCGTTCATGACCATGATTACAGCATGACATGGGTCGCGTGCACATCCCTCTTGTTCCTAACCCTGGATCTGAAGGTCTAGCTTCAAGACACACACACAAGGCAAAACCACCTCGAGTTAAATCAAACTAAGTTTCAAAACATTGTATCTGTATACTATCTCCATCCTTGATAATCCAGGGTATTATATCTCCATTCCAAAAACCAGGACCCAACCGCTACAATCATCACCTTAATATCGTTTAGTGCCTGATTCAAATTACATGACACTAAAAATAGCAGTTGAATCAAATTACAAACATGTGTAAGAGAAATCCCGTGCTAAGTTGGTGCTACGAGAGCTTAAAATGGTGAGGTACGTCACTGCCAAAAGAAACACGAGAGAATAGAATGAAGATATATCCTTGAACATGGAAGACGTACCAGCTCCTAAACCTCCATGTAACATACTGGTGCTGAATCCCTCCCAACAGGTGTGCCTGGTCGTTTCATCTCATTGGCAGAGCATACATCTACAAGTTTGTCACGTCATTCAGCACAACATACTTCTCTAAAGATTATATGAATGTACCATTTCAAGAATAATCATTTCTAGACAAGTATGTACCATTTCAAGAATAATCATTTCTAGACAAGTATGTACCATTTCAAGAATAATCATTTCTAAACAAGTATGTACCATTTCAAGAATATTCATTTCTAAACAAGTATGTACCATTTCAAGAATAATCATTTCTAGACAAGTATGTACCATTTCAAGAATAATCATTTCTAGACAAGTATGTACCATTTCAAGAATAATCATTTCTAGACAAGTATGTACCATTTCAAGAATAATCATTTCTAGACAAGTATGTACCATTTCAAGAATAATCATCTCTAGACAAGAAGACAAAATTGACAAACTGAAAGACTATTCCATTTTGAAGAAATTTAGTACAACCTAAGACTGATCGAGAGGTGATAGAATATCATATTTATATAGACTAAGTGAACAAGTTGCTGCAGGATCAACTTGAACCTACTAAAGACAGCCAGGAACCTCTAGCTGTATGTCTGTCACAGTTCCTGCTTGTCTCCAAGCAATGGACACATGGACACTTCTAATAGTACAAAGCATGTATCACTATGATACATTCTGCTGCTCTGCTATCTGCAAAGTAATACCACTTGGAACCTAGCGAGGATATATGATTCATGTCACTGGTCCTTTCTATATAAGATCATTGTTTTCTTATTTGTTGGATCATTGACCATGTTCACCAGATAAACCTATTTTCGTTTAAACATGAGAAAGAAATATTCTGTCGACAAGTCACCCTAAGGACTTATTTCATGATAATTCAGCATCTGAACAGATATAAAAACAGTTTTACAGCACCCAATTCGGCATCAATATTTTGCAAAATTGAACAGTTACTTTTGATTATTGTTGGAATATTAATAAAAACGTAAAACCATACTCATTCACTCACTCCACAATACTTCTAGGGTTCTCTCCCTTGTCCTTGATACTGTTCAGAGAAATGTCAAATTTTGCACACTTATATAAAAGTTGGAAACTGAAAGGTACTTCTAGGCAAGTGACAGGGATAGGCTGAGGTCTCTGTGTGCCTGTATCTTCTAAGATGTGTGACTGGTGACTGATCCAACAAATAAAATAATCCTCCCACAGGACATGTCTCAGGGCTTGGCTGTCCGACACAACCTTGCTGGATGCAAGCCCGGGATGCTCCTACTCATGGTCTGTGTTTCTCTATAGGTAGGCAATAGTGACATCACTGTAATGGACAGGAACTGATGCTCCCCCCTAGATGCAGGCAAGGACTCTAGTTTGTGCTTAGCGTCTCTGTTCAAGCAGCAAGTAGCATGACTAGTAGCATGTTTCCTGCAGCTGTAGTGGCATGTTTCCTGCAGCTGTAGTAGCATGTTTCCTGCAGCTGTAGTGTCATGTTTCCTGCAGCTGTAGTGGCATGTTTCCTGCAGCTGTAGTAGCATGTTTCCTGCAGCTGTAGTAGCATGTTTCCTGCAGCTGTAGTGGCATGTTTCTTACAGCTGAAGTGGCATGTTTCCTGCAACTGTAGAAGCATTTTTCCTGCAGCTGTAGTGGCATGTTTCCTGCAGCTGTAGTAGCATGTTTCCTGCAGCTGTAGTGGCATGTTTCTTACAGCTGAAGTGGCATGTTTCCTGCAGCTGTAGAAGCATGTTTCCTGCAGCTGTAGTGGCATGTTTCCTGCAGCTGTAGTAGCATGTTTCCTGCAGCTGAAGTAGCCATTTCAAGCTATCTGCATACCAACCTAGCTCCTACAGTTTTCTCTGGCAACTACAGCCTCTCACAATCTAGCCAAGAATAACTGACTCACAAAACTCATTCTAAAACGTCAATAAGAATACACACAATAAAACACAAATATATTAATTTCTTAATATTAACACATGTATCTCCTTTGGTTTGGTGCTCATCTCCTCGTGGAGACCGTGCATATATCTGAAAAATAAAATAAAATAAATAATAAACTGTTAAGAAATAGTAGAAAATTATAAAGAAATTATTAATCATGTTCATATGACTACAAGCCTTGTAACGATGATGTAACGTGTTGATGATTTTACGATTCTTCAATAGCTTGCGGGTCTATGTCACATTCACCAGTCTAAGTCTGGACTGAGTTACCTCCCTTTCATCAACCATTTTAGTATTCACAAAACATTGTTCTCTATGAGGAATGCCCTGGTCAGACTTGCTGACCCCATATATAAAAATACAGAACACAATTATATGGGGACAGTCATTTCTTACTCCACCCAAGTCTTCATATATACAAAATAATATCATGTTTTGGTAATAAGCTCAAAATGTGCAAATGTAGTAATGTGCGGGGAAAAAATTAATGTTGCTTACGAGATGATATGGCGGATGTCCTAGCTCCAAAATCATTTGCTTTGATAGTTGTAAACCGGTCATGTACTTTATTATTATAATACTAGGAACTATACTATTTAGCAACATCAAAAAGATATCTTTTGGCAATTTTATATTTTTTCGTTTTTTTCTAAATAAAATATATAAAACTAAGTACAAAAAATCCAACTGATTTCCTGTACTGAGGGTAAGGAAACTCAGGAAGCTCTGTTTTATACCATACCTATTTGTATCTGTACTTCTTGACACAGTCGTTGCCCAAGTCGGCGACAACAACATGGAAGTCAGGAAGTGTCGCCAGCCCACTCGGTCGCTTCAACTTGTCCTCAATGCTGTCGATACAGAACTGCAGCTTGCCACTGGAATTCAACACGTGGATGAGACTCTTCCCCTTCTCCGTCTTGGTGGCGAGGATGAAGCCTCCAGCATCCACAGTTAGGCCCCCATACTGACCCTTTCCAGAGTCGGACAATCGGCGGGAAAATTTACCGTCCTTTGTGAAAATTTGGATTCTGTGATCAGTGACTAGAATTTCATCACACTTGCCAACAGCTACCGATGATATCAGCTTGAACTGTCCATCCCGATCACCTCGACTGCCGAATGTCGTCAGAAGGATGCCGGATGGATCAAATATAAACACCTTCCCGGCACCGCTGTCCGCCACGATGATGTTACCCTTACTGTTGACTGCAATGTCGATTGGTTCCACAAACTCCTGCGCCGTGAACTTTTTGATTAGTTCTCCTTCATTGCCGAGGATGGACACACATCTTGTTCTCCAGTTGATGACGGCGAGGTTGGTGTCCGGCATCAGGCAAAGGCCTGTTGCGCTCTGGTTCTCCAGGCCAGCAGGCCCAATGTGACGCAAGAAATCGCCCTCAGCGTTGAGAACGCTGATCCGACTGTTACCCGTGTCAAGAGTATATATTGTTCCCGACTGATCCGCTGAGATTCTTACAGGCTGGACAAGACACATGTTCCCTGTGCCACGAGATCCGAACTTCCATATTGGATTTATATGATCACTGACATCAATTGAAAATGGACTGTCTTTGATTGGCCGATTAAATATGCTGACGCAGAGCTTCAGTTTACCAGATTTTGGTGGTATAAACTGAATCCCATACGTCCCATCGTCATTGTCCGTAACCTTGGTGTCGACCAGGTCACCTTTGTCTGTGCGCATTTCTGCTATCACAGGATCACTACCATTTGTTCGGGGGTTGCCATGGTAATCCACTGTGACAATCTTGACCCCTGAGCGAAGATGAGTCGTAGCTTCTTTAAACTTTGCTGACGACAGAGCTGGGAAGGTTGTGCTGACTTTGATCCTGCCAAAGATGGCAACAGCTTTGGAAATTTCCTTGAGTGCGTCATTATGCTTGTGCTCGTATTTCAGAAAGGAGTTTTCACGAGGCTCAGCCAGAGTAGTTGTCGTGTCCAGTTTCTCGTTGAGATCTCCGATCTTCTTGGTGATGTTGCGTACTTCCACCTGGTACTGCAGACCATCACACTCCCTCTGGACCTTCTCCTTCTCCTGCTGAATCAGCTCCAGCTGCTCATTGAGGATCTTTTTCTTCTCTTCACGGATCTTGCGGACCCACTGCAAGCACTCGTGTCGACGCTTGTCAACAACAGCCATCACATCCTGGAATGACCGGTTGATCTGGTCCAGAGTTTTGTCAACCGACAGCTCCAATCTCCGCAATTCCTGGGACACATTCTCATACGCATTGTTCAGGTTCTTGATGCACAGATGAGCCTTGTACAGAAGTATCTCCGACATTCTCTTTATAGCAATGGCAAATGGAATCACAGTATGTTCACTTGCACCACGGCCATTATGGTTTCCCTCGGTGCAGCGCACACAGAAAACAATATCACAGGTTTCACAGAATAGTAACTCCTGGTTGGAATGGACTGAACATTTCGGGATAACATCGCGTCTCTGGCTAGCCATAAGATCAAGCAGCTGGTTGACCAAGAAGCTGGCCGGAAACGCCCCCACTCCACCCTGGGGCAAGGTGATGGTCTCTCGACATATTGGACATCTGAAGGACCCTGTGTCGAGGGTCTGTGCAGCTATAATGCGCTCTAGGCAGCCCTTACACACAGTGTGCGAGCACGGGAGGAGTTTGGGGTTGTGCTCCACAGAGTCATACATGCACAGGCATGTGCCACAGGTAAGGAAACTGTCATTAAAGTCTTCATAGTTGATAGAAACTGTCTCCACTAGGGTAGACGACATCATACCTGAAGGAGAGAAGGGACATTTTAGACAATGTATTGACTGTTTGTTTATTTGCTGTTTATTGACTTATGGCTCACTCAGCAATTTTCCATTTAAGACTGTGTTCTGTAAATAACAGTCTGGACCAGACAAATCAAAGAATGATATTACTATGGTTGATACACAATCAACCAATTCACAGAGCCTGACCTCCCAATCCTGTCGTCTCCTACAACCAACATAGACTGCTGGGGGCCAATCTAACCCCCACAGGGACAAAGTAACAGTAAACATTGTAAGCTAATCACTGGTTTATCTGGTCCACACTTGATTATTTACAGATCACTGACGAGACAAACCCATCTTCCTCATACCAGTAAGCTCCTTATCATGCATAATTAATTTGTTGTTTACACCACACTCCGCTTTGAGATGGCTGTCAGTAAATAAGTCTTGACCAGACAATCAAATGATTGACAGTGGATATCATGACATGCAGTCTACCATCACTGATCATGACTGTCTGCTCCATCTGGTTTCCTCATACGTCAAGCATTGGTTGCTGGGGATCTACATCAATTCCAGGAATCCCTGCGGGTCTGACATATGCATAAGGGTTGTTCATTATGGGTATGCACACCACGCACACCCTCAATATGCTCATTATCTGCTAACAGATTTCAAGTGGGTCCCACATATCAACTTCAGTAGCAAACTGAAAACTTAACAGTCTCTAAAAATGAACGGAACTTGCTAAAATGAACTCACTGGGCCTTTGGGCTGCTGGGAAGCTGGTGGAGAGCATAGCAACACTGCTCTTTCGATCCCCCCAAATATCTCTGGAGTGAATCTACGTAATCTAACCACGATTACAAAAAGCATGGATATCTTCCAGTTACGAATTTCCAACAGTGACTATTGATACACAAAACTATTATACCAACTTCAGCAGGACCATTGTTTCAGAGTTGTTCCTTGACAAACAATACGCAAGTTGTACAAGTCCACTGGAGTTGAGTGTTAATCTGTGCACACATGGTCACACACTTGACGAGCTCCTTATCTTGGTTTCCTTGTAACTCAATCTGTAAACATGATCCTCTGGTTATTGTGGTCACTGCTGACACACCGTAATTACACACCCTCAGCTGCTTGGAAAATTGTGTCCTGTCAGTATGTTTGTTTGTTTGTTTGTTTGTTTGTTGTTTAACGCTGCACTAAGTAATATTCAAGCTATATGACGGCGGTCGGTAAATAATCAAGTCTGGACTAGACGAACCAGTGGTTTGTGGTTTGGTGAACGCAGAATACGATCGGTCTCAGCATATTACCCCTTTAGAATATCAGCAATCAACACCATGAGCGTTTCTTACGTCGAATATGGCATACAATAAATCAATGTCGTGTTAAAATTTCCATGCTGGCTCTACATTGTCATTTGTTGCAACAGAAGTAAAAATTAAAACTGTTGTTATTTATGACTTTTAGATCAAATCAAACTGTTTGAAAATGAGTGTCATGTGTGAGGCTGTCAGTCCCATTCAAACAAGATATACATCTATAATCTTGTTCACCATGTTGACGATACTCATTTGTTTAATTGAAAACTTACTCATATGTCAGTTGTGAAAAAAATACAGACGTCATATCATTTGATTGGTTGGTTGGTTATTGTTGTTTAACGCCTCACTCAGCAATATTCCAGCTATATGACAGCAGTCTGTAAATAATCGAGTCTGGACCAGACAATCCAGTTATTGACATCACGAGCATCGATCCACGCAATTGGGATCAATGACATGCATCGACCGAGTCAGTGAGCCTGACCACCCGATCCCGTTAGTCGCCTTTTACGACAAGCATAGTCGCTTTTTACCGCATACATGGGTTGCTGAAGACCTATTCTCATATCATTTGAAAATTGGGTGTTCTACAATATAAGAAATTCTAAATGTCAAATACATCTTAGGGAATCTATCATGATAAAATACAGGGCGTTTCAATTTCATAATGTTCACAAGAATCTTTCCACAAATATCCTTGATATTATGTGCGAAACTCATTCAATAGTTGAAATACTGTTCATGTGTTTCAATGGACATTGAATATATTACACCATTCAACAGCTGGGCAGGGTTTGGTTCTATTAGGAAATTGATTTCTGCTGTTAAACCATACAAGCATGTCCTAATAGCAACAGCCAAGCATAAAATCTGCCCATGAAGGGCAGTTACCTTGTGTTATGTTATGTGTAGGAGTGTAATGATGTATTGATTTATCAATGTATTGCAATTGTTTAACCTTCTATATTGTGACGGTATATCAATTTGAATTAAAAAACGACAACAGTATTGTTGATTGTATGGATAACAATTGATAGCTTCAATAGCTGCAATTAGTTATTAATTAAACATGCATTATGCGAATTTCAAACTGATGTGTCGGTTAGCAAGGATTACGACGACTTCAGATTAGAGTTACTTCCCTTGGTATGAGTAGAAAGGGAACAGGGTAAAATTTCCGACTGCTATTGTCGGCAATACTTTATTCGTTTCTATTACATTGATTAACATTATTGTTTATTTTACAGATTGTTTACAGTAAACAGCAGTGTTTTGTTTGTTTGTTCGTTCGTTGTTTAACGCTGCACTCAGCAATATTCCAGCTATATGACGGCGGTCTGTAAAATAATCGAGTCTGGACCAGACAATCCAGTGATAGCATCGATCCACGCAATTGGGAAACGATGACATGCATCAACCAAGTCAGCGAGCCTTACCCCCCGATCCCGTTAGTCGCCTTTTCCGACAAGCATAGTCACCTTTTACGGCAAGCATGGGTTGCTGAAGAACTATTCTACCCCGGAATCTTCACTGGTCGTAAACAGCAGTGAAGAAAGGGTATATAAACAAAGTTAAATAAATAAATAATTAATAAATAAAGTTTTTATTTTTATTGGTGTTTGAACTTACTTATTCACTACCACACCATCTCTGACAAAACATTATCTTGCGGTGTATGGTTTTAATAAGCATTCCCCTGTGTCAGAGCTCTTATTATGGCGAATATGGTATGCTCGTTTTGTTTGTTCTTTGGCCAATATTCAACCGTAAGTAGGTTAGGTATGAGTTTCTGTTATTGATGTCCCAGGGTTATATTGGGACAAAATTGTGTTGCAATATTAGGTGTAAACAACCCATCTATCTTGTCCCTGATGAATTAGGTCACACCCCCTGGGCCATGACTTTATATTCCATCACTTACCCTTAACGATGCTTGTTTGTTTGTTTAATACTGCACTCAACCATATTCCAACTACCGTATACAACGTAATAAGCACCTTGGGCGCTCTCAAAATTTGAGAAATAGGGGGCTCTTATGAGAATATAATTTTGGTGAAAGAGTTGAAAGATTGTAAATTTCGTGGTTTATGCTGACAGCCTGAAATGATACAAAAGAAAAGTCTGTGCGTATCATACATGACAGATATATTTTTCCTGCATTTAATTGCCCGTATTTAAGGGTGCATCTAACACACGAGTGCGTATTATACACAAATAAATAAGTCTTGTGTATATTGATCAATCAGAAGGGTGCTAATTGGGATTGTTCCCCAGCCAATGTATTAGCAAATATCACCGGGCGCTTATTAGAGCAGAGCACTTATTACGTCGAATACGGTATATGATTCTGCAATGTTAGTATCCAAGTCTGATCAAGGCAAACCAATGATTGATATTCTGAGCAACATTCCATGATGGGGTACGAAACATGCAGTCAGCCATGTTACTGAATCTGACCACCCGATCAATTTAGTCACCTCATGCAACACGAGTGAGTGAGTGAGTGAGTGAGTGAGTGAGTTTGGTTTTACGCCACTTTTAGCAATATTCCAGCAATATCACGGTGGGGGACACCAGAAATGGGTTTCACACATTGTACCCATGTCGGGAATAGAACCCGGGTTTTCGGCGTAACGAGCGAACGCTTTAACCACTAGGCTACCCGACTGCCCCATTGCAACAAGAATATATAAGCCTATCGTTAGGAATAGGGACGTATTCTAACCCGGATTCCCCATGCAGTACACACGCACTCAGTACAGCTACATAATCAACAGCTGGATCGACAATGAGTCATACAAGCATCATATCGGTCGTTACTGACAACAAAACAATATCCCATATCAATTTGAAATTGACACTGGGCACTTAATGCCCTTCAAATACAAATCCTTCAAAGACCATCCCAAAATGAGGAAGAGGGTGAGTATTGTCATGGTGTACAATCAACATTTGGAGTGATATCGCTGCTGTATTTATCAGTCAGTGAAATAAGTATTACTGTAAATGTTAAAATAAAGAATGGCTACAATACTCCTAACTCCTAACAGTTAAGAGTAAGTTGTCATTATATACTGTCAATAGTAAATCCTACATTTAACCTCAACAAAACAGAACAGCAAAACATGACACTGTAAAGTACGAAAACAACGTGAATAATATTTGTTAATATGTTTGCTGTTTAACGCCTAACTCTAAATTCCAGATATATGATGGTGGTCTGTAAATAATCGAGTCTGGACCTGAAAATCCAGTGAATGATATCATGAGCATCGATCCATGCAATTTGGATACGATGACATGCATCAAACAAGTCAGTGAGCTTGACCAACCGATCCCATTAGTCGCCTCTAATACAACAATAATAGTTGACTCTTGCGACAAGCATGGGCTGCTGAAGACCTATTCTTACCCGGATCTTCACAAGAATCTGAATAACAACAAACACTGCAACAGCTATCAGCCCAGGGTACAATCAGTTGACACTGCAACCACTCACCTCACCATGTCCATACCTGGCCCTTTACCACCATCAACAAGGGCCTCATCCAGGATATGAGATTACACACATCCAGTGTAGGAGTACACCCATCCAGTGTAGGAGTACACCCATCCAGTGTAGGAATACACATGTTCAGTGTAGGAGTACACCCATCCAGTGTAGGAGTACACCCATCCAGTGTAGGAATACACATGTTCAGTGTAGGAGTACACACATCCAGTGTAGGAATACACACATCCAGTGTAGGAATACACACGTTCAGTGTAGGAGTACACCCATCCAGTGTAGGAGTACACCCATCCAGTGTAGGAGTACACCCATCCAGTGTAGAGTACACACGTTCAGTGAAGGAGTACACCCATCCAGTGTAGGAGTACACCTGTCCAGTGAGGGTCAGTACACACAGTTCATGTCCAGTTGATCATAAACCACTGCCAACATGCCCAAGTGTCAGGTACACAATGTTGATCTATACAACCATCCTCCTGAATTCCTTTATTCCACAGTTACAATGTCTACCTCATGTCGCAATGCCAGATCTGAACAACCAGCTTTACATTGTTGAGACCACATAGACTTGATGATAAAATACCTGAATACCCATAGCGACTGATAATTCTCCAGCAATCAGCTCAAGCAAACTCCATACATCATGCCTGTTGCCTGCTTAGCTTTCCCTTTCCTGAAACCAGCATACCTACTGAAGCTCCACGTCCGGATGCCTGAGTACCTAATCAATTACGCTAAAGACACAGTCTTTCTGAGCTGGTTGGGGTGTAGGGTTATTGATTTGTTTGAACACCTACTCTCATGAGCAGCGTGTATGTCTGTGATAACTGCAAACATTGTGCAGTCATCACATGGCTAATATTCTACATCTCTGCTCTCTAGTGCAGCATTTTACCATCAATATGTAGTTTAAGCTCCATTTACAAACATTCCGCATCGACCAGCCATGTCGTGGTGGGAGGGATCTGTTGCCAATATCACCCAGAGTCAATTTGGTATGAGTTTCTGCTATTGATGGTCCAAGGTTATATCTGGACAATATTGTGTTTCAATATTTGGTGTAAACAACCCATCTATCTTGTCCCTGATAGGGCTATGCCATTACATACCCCTTCAACACTGCCGGTCCCTGTGCAACTTGCAACAGAGATATGCTATGAAATATTCCCCATGACAAAGGTAATATGGAGGCGGACTGTACAAAATAGATACTGCTATAAACCAGTGATTGTACAATGTACAATGACAGACAATTAACAAGGTCACTGAGCCTGAACACTGGGTCCAATAAGTTGCCTCTTACGACCAACTTGGGATGTATACTGTCCACAAATACCCACACGGGAGTTGAAGGTCAGAGGAGATGCTTGTGTAACCTTCACTTCCACAAAATGGATTGCTGTGAAGATCCAGGTTAGAATTGGTCTTCAGCAACCAACGCTTGTCATAAGTGGCAAGTAAGGGGATCGGATGGTCAGGCTCGCTGACTTGGTTGATGCAAGATGCTGATGCTGTCAATCACTGGATTGTCTGGTCCAGGCTAGTTTACTTACAGCCTGTAGTCATATAGCTGGAACACAGCTCAACAACAAACAAACAATCCATAACACAGAAACCCACATTACACTACACAGATGTGAGTGAGTATGTTTTTACGCTGCTTTTAGTAATATTCCAGCAATATGCGGTGTACACCAGAAATGGGCTTCACACATTTTACCAATGTGGGGATTCGAACCCGGGTCTTCAGCATGACTAGCTTATGCTTTAATCACTAGGCTACCCGACCCCCCCACCGTCAGTACTGCAAGTGAATGTTGTTTGACACTGCAGTCAGTCATATTCCACCTACTCCATGGCAACCTGGAAATGTTGGACTATGAACCAGGCACACCAGTAAGCATGAAGTAACGCCATCAGCCATGTCACAGAGACTCAGCCAACCGATCTGGTTCTGTATAGTATTAAGACAAGTATAGACTACATAAGATCAATGCCACACTGCAACCTCCACACAGTACACCAGATATGAATACAGTAATTACCCCCAAACCAATAGAGCTTGTTCACCAAAGTGTTTGCAGAGCGTAGGGATTGATATGAGCAGCGAGGTTAAATGATTGATTTGAAAATGATGGGTCAGGTATCAGAAATATATCTGACAGATGGACATCACATGGATTTTCAGATGTCAGTAACTAGTGTCCCTGAGATGCAACCAATATGAAGCACTCAGTGCAACACTGTTCATGGTTCCAAAAAGCGTGAGTGAATGAGATAAATGAAAACTACGAAAAGACAAAAAAATATTAGGAATCATGAATATTTTTAGGTATATTTCTATGTAGTGAAGACTGGTCCCACAATTTCATGAAAAATATCCAAAAATATTCATGATCCCTAACTCTTTTTGATGAGTATATATTATGAGGTGAGGTGAGGTGAGGTGAGGTGAGGTGAGGTGAGGTGAGGTGAGGTGAGGTGAGGTGAAATGGCATTTGTTCCGAAAGATGATGTGCGGCTGCTTGTACTAGTCCGAACTAAAGCTGAGTTCATAGTGCTAGCACACTGAGATACCATGCCGCAGTTTAACATGAATACCCCACTAAGACACAGTATACTGACTCGGAGCCGACCAGTCCTTGTTTTAGCCCTTTAATGCCGACCACCAGACAGGGTAACAACAAGTACAATCTTTTACATCTTTTGATATGACCAGCCGGGGACTGAAGCCGGACTTTTACTCTCCGGGCAGAAGCTGAACCACTAGACCATGCAAGCGTTCATATATAATGAATGAGTGATCATAGCTAGATGTTGTATCAGCAATTTGGCAGTTATTAACAGCGAACTGTCTTATCACAGCATATACAAAAGTACTCCAGCCATTTGAAGTCTAAATAGATCTTGAATGAGCTGTAGTCATGGCATAATTCAGAGTTCATAGGACAAAGCTGCTGACGTGGCAAGTGCCGAGTATACATGATTTGTACCATGGCAATAATTAGACATATCACATAGCAACACAGTATAGAGTTACACCTCTCATAGGCAATATGGATCATATGGCCCTACACAACTGATACATGTTCAATTAGGAATTGTTTTACTGGGCCCCTGGCAAAACGTATTTAGATATTGTATAAAACGATCTGGCCGATCATGTAACACTGAAGTTGACTGAAGCTTTGTCTTTACTCAAACATAGAAGGAATGTGCCAATAGTCAGAAAGAATTGCAACATTAGCAACTAACTGTACTAATCTAACCATGGAATTTTACTGTTATTGTCATTAAACAATATATCACGTGACTTACTACCATGGACCTACTCAGGACCCACCCGACCCGGGTACCCAAGTCAATTAAGCCGACCCGGGTATCCAAGTCAACTAACCCGACCCGGGTACCCAAGTCAACTAACCCGACCCGGGTACCCAAGTCAACTAACCCGACCCGGGTACCCAAGTCAACTAACCCGACCCGGGTACCCAAGTCAACTAACCCGACCCGGGTACCCAAGTCAACTAACCCGACCCGGGTACCCAAGTCAACTAACCCGACCCGGGTACCCAAGTCAACTAACCCGACCCGGGTACCCAAGTCAACTAACCCGACCCGGGTACCCAAGTCAACTAACCCGACCCGGGTACCAAAGTCAACTAACCCGACCCGGGTACCAAAGTCAACTAACCCGACTCGGGTACCCAAGTCAACTAACCCGACCCGGGTATCCAAGTCAACTAACCCGACCCGGGTACCGACCCGGGTATCCAAGTCAACTAACCCGACCCAGGTATCCAAGTCAACTAACCCGACCCAGCCCCAGCCCCAGCCCCAGCCCCAGCCCCAGTACATGGTCGCTAATGGTCCATAAGTATAACATCATCTCAAGTTCGGGAGTGAATCAACTTACCTATAACCATAATGAAAATGTAGTTACTTCACTCTGGGATATAGGCATAACAGTCACACTTAGTTTTGGTTGGTTTGGTTTGTTCTTTAACACCACACTCAGTAAAATTCCAGCTATATGACGGCAGTCTGTAAATAATCAAGTCTGGTTCAGGCAATCCAGTCATTGACATCATGAGCATCGATCCACACAGTTGGGATACGATGACATGCATCAACCAAGTCAGCGAGCCTGGCCATTCAATCCCATTAGTCACACAGACTTAGTCAAGATTTAAGTACATGGTGCTTCCCTCTGTAATATTCTCTGTCTTTTGTCTGTATCTGAATTGTGCTTTCAAGGGCTCCCTAAGCTCCCAATTTGTTATGGTCATGGGTGAATGGCTTTATTCAGTTCTGAGCACTATTCCAGCCATGTAACACCAGGAACAGCAGGAACACCAAGAACACCAAGAATGTGATCTCAGGAATTGAACCCAGGTCTTTGGTGTGACATCTGAGCAACCACTTTAACAATGGGCTTTACACATCATCACTATGTTAGGAATTGAACCTAGGTCTTTGGTGTGACAAGCAAACACTTTGCCCACTGCGCTACCCTTGCACTGGTTACTTTCAGCAATAATTAAACAGTGGTAGACTGGGAGGAGCAAGTTTAGGCACAGACTGGAACCAGAATCCATGTACCGAAACGCACGAAAGGTGAGGTGAGGTGAGGTGAGGTGAGGTGAGGTGAGGTGAAATTGGGTTTAACGTCGCGTCCAAGATTATCGCACTTATATAGCGACGTGCATGCACGTGTGTGTGTGTGTGTGGCTGCTTGTACTAGTCCGGACTGATGCCGATTTATAGTGCTAGCTCACTGAGATACCATGCCGCAGTTTAACATGAATACCCCACTCAGACACAGTATACTGACTCCGAGCCGACCAGTCCTTGTTTTAGCCCCTTAATGCCGAGCGCCAGACAGGGTAACAACAAGTACAATCTTTTAACTTCTTTTTGTATGACGCGGCCCGGGATCGAACCCTGGACCTTCCGCTCTCCGGGCGGACGCTCTACCACAAGACCACGGAGGCGGTCTAAACACACGAAAGAGAAATATCGATCCCCAGGTGAGGCGAATGGGGTTTAATGATGCATTCACGATTATTGCACTTATACTACATGGTGTGTGTCTGCTTCTGTCTGCTTCTGTCTGTGTGTGTGTGTGTGTGTGTGTGTGTGTGTGTGTGTGTGTGTGTGTGTGTGTGTGTGTGTGTGTGTGTGTGTGTGTGTGTGTGTGTGTGTGTGTGTGTGCGTGTGGATGTGCACGAGTCATGAGGCTGCTTGTACTTAGACTCATACCCGAGTATAACAGTGTTAGCCTACTGAGATACCATGCCACAGTCTAACATGAATACCCCACTCAGACACAGTATACCAACTCCAAGCTGACCAGTCCTTTTTTTAGCCCAATAATGTCGAGCAGTAGGCAGGGTAACAGAAAGTACCTTCATTTAACATCGTTTGGTCTGACTTGGCCAGGGATCTAATAACCAACCTTCCGCTCCCTGGGCAGACACTCTGTCCACTGGACCACAGTGTCAGTCTCATTTCCCTCAGATTAAAGTGGTCAGTGTTCAAACACAACACAAGCTGGTGGAGTTGACACAGTTCACATTCACAACAGAGCTGTGTTAGGGAAACTAAATATGTCATTCTCTCATCAGATCAAACACCCATCTGGTGCCACGACGAAA